AGCGGTGAAACGCCAGAGACGCGCCCGCGTAGACCGTCAGGTGACGCCCGATTGCGCCTTGCTGACTTCTAAGGTCTAGTCCTTAGTTTTAGTCCTGGTTTAGTCCTGGTTTAGTCCTGGTTTAGTCCTGGTTTAGTCCTCGGTTCAGTCCTGGTTTAGACCTGATTTTGTCCTGGTTTAGTCCTGTTTTAGTCCTGGTTTAGTCCCCGGTTCAGTCCTCGGTTTAGACCTAGTTTAGTCCTGGTTCAGTCCTGGTTCAGTTTTTGGTTTAGTCCTGGATTTAGTCCTGGTTCAGCTCTGGTTCAGCTCTGGTTCAGCTCTGGTTCAGTTCTGGTTTAGTTCTGGTTTAGTTCTGGTTTAGTCCCAGTTTAGTCCTGGTTCAGTCCGTATTCAGCTCTGGTTCAGTTTTGGTTTAGTCCTGGTTTTAGTCCTGGTTTAGTTCTGGTTCAGTTCTGGTTCAGTTCTGGTTCAGTTCTTGGTTCAGTTCTGGTTTAGTCCCGGTTTAGTCCTGGTTCAGTCCGTATTCAGCTCTGGTTCAGTTTTGGTTTAGTCCTGGTTTAGTCCTGGTTTAGTTTTGGTTTAGTTCTGGTTCAGTTCTGGTTCAGTTCTGGTTTAGTTCTGGTTTAGTCCCGGTTTAGTCCCGGTTTAGTCCCGGTTTAGTCCTGGTTCAGTCCGTATTCAGCTCTGGTTCAGTTTTGGTTTAGTCCTGGTTTAGTTCTGGTTCAGTTTTGGTTTAGTCCTGGTTCAGTCCATATACGGCGCAAAAGTTCAGCATCTTCACAGTTATTTTGTTGAGTAATTTAAAGTGCTGTAATAGTCGTGTAATATTTTACATTTTAAACACAGTAAAATTGTGACAATAACAAGTCATAAATAAATAACACATTACAGTTTTAAAGTCACTTGCCCAACAGTGTCTGAAACCCACGGATAGTTGTTTTAACGTTGTTTTTATCGTGTTTATGCTTCGTAACGTGACCTTGGGTGTAAGAAAGGCAACGCATTCTGAATTTTTGACATTATTATTACAATTTTATAGAATTAGAAGATATATTTTTAAATTAAAGGGCCTGTATTCCCCTTTTTTTCTGATTTATGTTATATTCCAGCTCATCAAAAACATACCTGGAGTTGTGTTTTGTTTCATTCACAAAACTTTAACGCACAAACTCTGCAGATTTAGGGCTGAGTTCTTCTCTCAAACTGAAAAACAAGGAAGCGCTCCGATGTGTTTTTAAGCTTACGTACATTTACACTAGAATTATTTGGATCGTTTCAGCCCTGGAATCGCCAATTTCTACTCAACTAAAGGTTAAAGGGTTGCTGTTAACTTAGAAAACGATTTAATAATGCAGAGTTATTTATTTAAACGTGTCTGAAAGAAACAAAACACAACTCCAGGTCTGTTTTTGACGAGGTAACGGCATGAAAACACGGCTTAAAACTCACAACGGGTTAATTTTGCGTAATACAGGACCTTTAAATTCAAGTATACGAGCGTCTATGAAGGTCTAGTCGTCTTTCTGACCCATGTGAATCCGTCCTTTTTTTGCAGTGTATTGCCTTCGGGTCGGGTCTTGGGTTTAGTCACCTGCTCCTGATTTAGCTCAGCGTCACAGCCACATCCTTTTACTGTTAAAAGTCTGAGTACACGGCTAAATATACAACTAACTGCCACCGCGAGTGACTTTCTTTAACTCCCAAGATCTGTCTCATATTTGAGCGCGTCAAGGGTTTCGGCCGCGTCTCGTTGGTGACACCTACTGGTCGAGATCTGTTACTAATGAATTATTCCGACACAGAGAGAAAACACTGTGTTATTGACAGTGTTGGGAAGGTGTATTTCTCTACAGATTACAGATTAAATACCCCAGAATGTAGTTTGTAACAGAATCCATTAAATGACTTAAAGCGAGTAATGTAATCTGGATACTTTGGATTACTTGATTTGCTGGAGAGAAGCAAAGACGAGGAAATCGTAACATAAGAAGTTTTGTTTGCTAAAAGAAAATAAAAAGCCCAGACTTTACTGAACCAGATTAAAAAATATTGATTGATAGAAGAGGTTTAGGAGTTTTACACTGTTTAGTCCACTAGGTTTAGCTTTTTAGCTGTTTAGTTGTTTTAGTTTTAGTCCTGGTTTTAGTTTTACCTGGTTTTAGTCCTGTTTTAGTCTTAGGTTTAGTTTTTCTGGTTTAGTCCTGTTTTCCTTTAGTCCTGTTTTAGTCCTGTTTAGTTTTAGTCTGGTTTAGTCCTGGTTTTAGATTTAGTTTAGCTCTAGTTTAGTTTTACCCTGGTTTTAGTCCTAGTTTAGTTTTTAGTTTTAGTCCTAGTTTAGTCCTGGTTTAGTCCTTTTTTTAGTCTTGTTTTAGTCCTGTTTTAGTTTTAGTTTTTCCTGTTTTAGTCCTGTTTTAGTCCTGTTTTAGTTTTAGTCCTGGTTTAGTCCTGTTTTAGTCTTTAGGTTTAGTCCTGTTTAGTGTTTTAGTCCTGTTTTAGTCTGTTTTAGTTTTTAGTCCTAGTTTAGTCCTGGTTTAGACCTGTTTTAGTGTTTTAGCTCTGTTTTAGTCCTAGTGTTTTAGCTCTGTTTTAGTCCTGGTTTAGATCTAGTTTAGACCTGTTTTAGTCCTGTTTTAGTGTCCGGCAATGAGTGAAATTACCGAGAAAAAAAAAAAAGGGATTTAGCCCAAAATGTGAAGACAGGAAAATACCGCCGTGTAATCCAGTTATTTCAACAAAGTAACTGTAATCCAATTACCACTCACTGAAACAGTAACTGTAACCGAATACAGTTACTCATAATTTGTACTCTGATTACATAACTCCGGTACATGTAATCTGTTACTCCCCGACACTGGTTATTGAAGAAAATTGCCTCTGTGAAAATGTATTTAAAATTACTCTAACAAAAGTGATTTATTTATTACATTGGAGTTGACGTAAAGATGCACTGTGCAGCTTTTTCTGGCGATGTCTGCTGCTCGCTTTGTCTCCATGGAGATGATATTGTTTTGCTTTGTTTCATAGTATGGCATTAAACATTTCTATTTCCGTGGAGAGAGGTGATCCCTGCTCACAGTAAGAATGCAGGTTTATTAAGTTTAATTTTGAGCAATAATGTTTAATGCCGTACTGTGGAACATTCCAGGCAAAGCAATAACATCTTAATTCTCCTGAGAGACAAAAACACGCGTGCACCTTTAATTATTGTAATGTTTAATGAAAATATTGTGATTGACAGTGGTGCGTTTTTGCAAATCAACCACGGCTCGGTCGAGGTTTATTAATTATAATTTTAAAACGATAAAGTAAATTTAAACAGTTAAAAACTCACCTGTTTCACACTTGCATCCAACCTCCGAGAATGTCTGTTATTTATGTAGCGTCTTTTTTCTTGCCCGTGTGTAGGCTAGTTGAGTTTCTTTTGAAAAAAACGTACATATTATAGTTATTATTATTTGATGGATTGATTTCGGTCACAGGTTTATTCTGACATTTCACAGTCAGTGTTAGGTTTATCTAAACATTAAAACAAGAAGAAAGACAAGAGATTAATTCAGTTTTACTCGCGAGGAGAACGGGCAGAGAGTGGGCATCAAAACCAACAGTCTCCACACGTTCTGATGACTCTTTTTATTTCATTAGGAGGCCCTAGTTACAGAACGATAATTCTCAAGGGGAAGGGGAAACAGCCAAGACATAATAAGAAACTGGTGCAGCTATGCATAGTACAAACACATAAAACATGATTAACAATCAGGAGGTGCCTTAGGTTTGGACAGACACCATCATAACTCTTGCATGTGTGACAGTGGGAGTTGGCTTCATGTGAGGAATCATCTCGAGGTTCACTAGAGCGACAGGACACTGCACACAGTTGTCAAACACACAGAGGTTATTCAACAAGTGACAAGTGATTGGTACATTATAAATCAAAGAATTGTAGTACATAAATGGTTAACTCATAGGCCTAGAATATCACACAAGTATTTAGCAAATATGGGATAATAAAATTATCATATTTAACATACACAGACTGAAAAGGTGGAGGCTGAAGCTTGAGCTTATTCTGCCTTTTTAACCTTTATTCCTTTATCAGAGCGACATCTTGACATCGGTTCATCTTCATAAATTAGGGTGATCAAACATCTGTTTTTTCTCCAGACATGTCCGTTTTTTGCGTCCTGTCCTGGGCGTCCGGGTTTGTTTTTTTCATAAAGTGATGGAAATGTCAGATTTTTCATGATCTTTCATTGGGGCCATTCAATTGAGCGTCTCTCGTAGCGTCTGTGACTCAGAAGGAGCGAGCGGACACCGTGAGTCGGTCAGTCTGCAACATGCCGAAGTGAAAATGCGCTTTTAACAATCTCTGTTTTCCATCCCGGTCAAGACAAGCGGGAGGACATGTGCACAGGTTGCGAGGCGAGAGTAGCTCAGTATCGAGGCCCCACCCCCCGGTAAGGTGTCCGGGTTTTCACAAACGGAAATATGGTCACCCTGTCATAAATACAGCACGAGGAAACAAACAAATCAGTAACAGTACAGCAAAGTACAACAGCACAAACTTAGTCTCATAATTCATGTATCTGCCCAGAGTAAAACATTTAAACTTCTTTATAAAATAGAAGAGAGTGGTACACAGTTTTAGGTTTTCTGTGCAATTGTTCCAGAGTTTCACCCCTTTAACAGATGTACAAAACTTTATAATGTTGTTTTTGATTTTCTTTTTGATAAACGTGGTCATAACTCTGAGCTCATATTGGCTCTTTCGGATTTTGAACATTATTCTGAAATGATTTTGACATGAGATTGTTGTTGAACATGATTTTCAAAGTGTAAAGTTCGACTAAAGCGTAAAATTTCAGAGCTTGAAGGTTTATAAATAACACATAGGTTATTGCAAGGTAAAGATTGGATTTGCATTTGTCTTGTATCGCCCCAAATCTCAAATGCAATCAGCAATAGGTTTTTAAATCTTTTACTTATTTTCCTCTTTTCTCCAGCGCTCAGACGGAGGGAGATGTGAAGGAGGAGATCCTGCAGCCCCCCGAGCCTCACCCGGTGCCCCCCATCCTCACCCCCTCTCCCCCCTCCGCCTTCCCCACCGTCACCAACGTACGCCAGGACAACGACCGCTACCACCCCAAACCTGTGCTGCACGTGCTCGCCACCACGCACAACAACACCACACAGGTACCAGCGGCTTTTCTATTAACACAACTAAACTTATGGGCTGAAATTTTTGGTAAGAAGAAAACACAGTGCCGATACTGAAAAATTTTGCCTGATATGTGGTTCCACGATATCAGTTCATCCAATATCTTGGGGGCTGAGTGTCTAGCACGCACGCCTCACAGCAAGAAGGTTCCAGGTGGGCCTTTCTGTGTGGAGTTCACATGTTCTCCTCGTCTGGGTGGGTTTCCTTCAGGTTCTCTGGTTTCCCCCATCAACCCAGAAATGCACCACAGGTTAAATCCTTCAGCTCAGGTCCTGAAAGCCTAGAAACAAGAACATGGAGTTAGTTCCCCGGGCGCCTCATGTGCTGCCCACTGCTCCTGAGAGGATGAGTGAAATGCACAGAAGAATTTCCCTACAGGGATAATAAAAAGTACTACTACAAAAAAAAAATAAATATGGTCTATTTACAGGCTGATTTTGGCCTAAGACCCATGGGTCAAATGTGGCCCTCAGACAAATTTTTCTTGGCCCTCAGGCTTCCAGGTGAATTGGCCCAAATGACCTCGCATCAATTAAAAAATATTTTTTTTACTCCGAGTTTTTTGAAAATCTACCTTGATAAAGCAAATATTTAATATTTACTGTGTGGTTTTAAGTATTTTAGCATAAATAAAGACTGAGCATCAGTGTACGGCCTCGATCAGCCTCTGCTTCATCTGTGTTTAGACATGTGGCCCTTGATGAAAAGAGTTTGAACAGCCCTGGTCTAGGACGTCTGAACTCATATTCATACAAATCTGCTCTGTAGTTATTTAAGAATCATAATCATGCATCAGTTTTATATAGCACTTTTTTGGACACTCAGAGACGCTTTGCAGAGGATCATTCATTCGCTCCACACTGCTGGTGAACTACTACTGTAGCCACAGCTGCCCTGGGGCAAACTGACGGAAGCGAGGCTGCCAATCTGTGCCATCAGCCCCTCCGACCACCATCACTCACACTCACACACCACTTTCATACTGGGCAATGTGGGTGAAGTGTCTTGCCTAAGTACACAACAACAGTTTTTTACCCCCATGTGGCACCTGATTTCCCAGTGTCTCCCATCCGAGTACTGACCACAAGGAAGGATAAATAACAGTTACATAACATAATTAAATCACTTGTACAATAAGTTATCTGTCATTTAAAGAAATAAGGGCCATTTTCCATCCCCAAACTGGTATCGGTCAGTATCGGTTATCAGATGATACTTAAAGTCAAGGTATCGATATCTGTACCTGGCCTCATGACAGATCTGTCTGTAACTTGACCTGATGGTAACAACTGTTTAAAGGTTGTATAGAGGATTTTTTTTTGTTTGTTTGTTTCAAATTCAATGAAAATTTAAAATACCATTACAGAGACGCAGCAGCCTTGTAATTATGATGATCCAAAAAAAAAAAAAAAGAATGAAAATCTACTGTGGATGTAGTGAGTCTGGATAAACATCAGCCAATAGAAAACAAGGCTGCCTCATTTTCTATGGCTGTAAGGTTGTCAATCAAACTCCCTACGTTTCTAGTGTAACTGATTCGCCGGCGCGTGGGGATTATGCGGTTTATGCAGCAGTTCTTTTCGCGCGAAGTTTGTCGAGACGGCGGACGAGAATCGACGACCAGTTCGCCGCAAAAGAAAGTCCGTTTTTGAGGTCGCTGAAAGAAGAAGAGAAGGCGAAAAGGAGCAAAGACAAACTGAGGTGAATCTTGGGAGATCTCTTCCAGCGATTGCGTGAATGATGCAGACGAAGAGTTTAAAAACTGACGGGTCGGTCGCTAAATTATTTCTAGACGGGTCACTTCAGCAGTAATTCTGAACGCGCACAGGCTGTAAACAAGTGTGATTTCTAGAGTAACAAGGCAGTAACAAGACATGCACAACATTTGAAAAAGGACTGTCGCTGTATTTCTCTTCCCTTAAAAAATCCTCTATACAACCTTTAAGTCTAATGACAAACTGTGGAACATTATAAGTAAAGCAATACCATCGCCATGGAGACAAGTGAGTTTTGCAGTGCATCTTTAAAGTAATGAAAACCTAATAATACTTATAATTTTCTTTCAGGATTAATGTAATAATAATCCGTTGCTGCAGCTGCAATTACACCTGTACAAATATTCATTTAGAAAATGTCTAATATAAAAAACAAAGAATTAAAAGGCTATTATGAAAATGAATTATACATTTAAATTAAACTAATTTCTAATCTTTTTAATAAAGTACTTGTACTGCTTTACTTTTCTTTACTGTTTAGCTTCAATGATTGGAAAAATTACAATAAACAAGTGCAGGTTTAAAATGTAGTAGTTTAGTAATGGTTTAAAAAAAATGCAAAAAAAAAACAAAGAACACCAACCTTTGTTATTTAAATTTTCAGCATATAAATTTAATAATTTATTTAAAGTGCATTGTGTAACTTTTCTGATGGAGGGTGCGTCAAATGCTTTTCTTCATGGAGCTGTTATTGCTTTGTCTGGAATGTTTCACAGTGTGGCATTAAACCTTTCTATCTTCACGGAGACCAAACCAGACCAAGTCACAGGTCAGATCTGTGGAGAGGCGACGCCGCTCACAGTCAGAACGCTGGTTTTTCTGGGTATTTTCAGGCTGTGAAACCACCTGTAATTTAATAAATGTACAGTAGAGCTGTTTAATGTCACACTGTGGAACATTCCAGGCAGAGCAGTGACATCTCCATAGAAACAAGAGAGTAACACCAACATAATGAACCTTTAAAAAAAATAACCACCAAATTTTGCCAAATCTAAAACCAAAGAATTCATGACGCCAGACTTTTTAAAAATTATTTTAATCGAATCAATTTAATAATTCATTAAGCAAAGGTCATTTTAATTATTTTTATTTTTTCTTATTTTTCAGAAGCAGGAAGTGGACCAGCAGCAGAACCAATCAGAAACCTGCGCCAACACCAACAGCAGCCAGTCGGAGCTAAAGGACCAAAACGTATCCAAACAACAAACCCAGACTTTAGACTTAAACGACAACTACAACAACAAATCCTCTTCCACGACATCGACGAAGTCCGACTCGGGAGCCAGCCAGACCCACACTCCCTCCTCGCCTCTGTCTCCCGTCATCGAGGGCTCCGGCGCGCCCCGAATCGAACGCAAACTGAGCATAGAGATCAAAAAGGTGCCGCTGCAGGAGGGACCGCGCAGTTTCGACACGACCAACTCCATGGGCTTGGCGGCTTCTTCGGCAAACAGCGCGAACATGCTGCACCGATGCCACGCGTTCAAAACCAGGGCAGGACCCGCCATTTTGACTTCCAGCTCGTCGCTTTCGGAAGATTCGGGAACGGAGGGAGGAGCGGGATCGTGCGGGGACGGCAAAGAAGACGGGGTTTTAGCGAGGCCAAATCATTTACCGGTGAAGAGTAGCGAAAAAGTCGATAGCTTGGACGTCAAACCGGGGCACGCGGCGTGGAGCCAGCCGTCGACGAGCCCGGAGAAGAACCTCTCGAAATCCTCGTCGTCTTCGTCCGATCGCGTCCCCCAGAGCTCCTCCTGCTCCTCCCATCTCTCCTCCTCGTCCTCGTCTTCTTCCTCCACGCCGGTCAGAACTGCGCTAAGCTTCACGAACCCGCTCCACTCGGACAACTCGGACGAAGAGGCGGACGCCGAGATGGTGGTGGGCGGCGCGGGCGGCGTCGCCGGGTACCACCACCCTCACACGAGCGTCTCCACGGCGACGGCCGCCATGGTGACCGCGTCTTCAGGGCTCCTCGGCGACCAGCTGCCGATCAGGAAGGTGACGCCCATGTCCATCGCCGGGCAGAACACGCCGTCGCCGACCGCCAATCCTGCAAGTACGTGACCTGCGACTGGCGTTTTTTAGAAAGTGCGTCTGACTGGTTAAAGCTGCAGTGCGTAACTTTTCAGAGGTTTTGTCTTGTCTCCATGGAGATGTTATTGCTTTGTCTGAAAAGTTCCAGAGTATGGACATAAGCAGGTGATGAAACTAGGTCAAATTACAGGTCAGATCTGTGGAGAGGTGACCAAGAATGCTTAGAATAAATGCAAGATTTAATAGTTTTAATGTCATACTGTGGAACATTTCTAGCAAAGCAATAACTCTAATCTCCATGGAGACAAGGAGGTGGCGGACACTACACCAGAAAAGTTACACAGTGCAGCTTTAACTTCACATTTCTATAAAGCAGATGGAAAAAAAATTATAGTAATGATAACTTTCGCGTTTAAAGCTCCTCCTGCGTAAAGTTTCCGGTTCAGGGTCTGTCACCTGCTTGTCTCCATGGAAACGCTATGGCTTTGTGTGGAATGTTCAACAGTATAGATTAAACCCATCCGTGAAGCGAAGGACGGACAGGTTATAGGCGAGTTTCAGCTGACGTCATTGTTATTAAAAGCCCGCGTTGCTGCTGGGAAATATTTTGGTCGGAGGCAAGAAACAGGATAGCGTCAAACACAGTGCGTAACCTCGCGTATTTATCCCCGATAATGGTAAATTCCTGCTGCATTATCGGATGCACAAATAGAAGCACGGAAGAAGGAAAATGTCTTTTTCGTATTCTGAGTGAAAAGAACCGCTAACGGTGAATTAAACGGCTTTCAAACATCCACAGAGCAAACGTAGAAGATCCTAACAAACCGTGGACTCCAACAAGTTCAACAACACATCGAGACTCTTGGAGGTTTTCATCTTTTCTGCTGTGAATGGCCCAGGAGTTTCCACCAAGTCATTGTGGATATCGCCAAAGTGAATATTTGTCCAGGTAGTTGGCGATTCTGACCAGAAATTTGGTTTGGTCCACCTTTTGTCGGGGTTGAAAAGGGTGATTTGGCTCCATCGATGCTTATGACCAATTTCTGGTCAAATGGTCTTGGGTCCTCTGCCGTTAGAGTGGATAAATAACCGGGATCAATACCCTTTACGTGCTTTCTCGCTCCGTCCGTCATGTTGAATTGAGTGTTTCTTGCCGCCGACCAAAATAATTCCCAGCATGCAACGCGCGCTTTTGTCAACAATGAAACTCGCCTATACCACTACGCTACATTACAGGTCAGATCTGTGGAGAGTCGCCTCTACTCACAGTAGGGGTGTGCAAAAATAGGGCTGGGTGTCATTAAGAAGTTGCCGATACGATACATACCTCGATACAGCGCACTTTCGATTCGATACGATATATTTCTAATCAATTCGATATGGTTCAATAAAAAATAAAGGCTAAATCATGACTGTGATACTAAAAGTCTTTGTTAAACCATTTCTTTTGCAAAGTTCATATGAAACACAAACATTTTAATCATCAAAAATGTCAAATGTGTCGCATGAACGAGTTTCCTTCCACTAAACAAACAACAAAACTGTAGCTCTGTAACCAAAAGATTTTGTAAAATATACCCAAAAAAATCCTCTTGATGATATATCGATACAGAAGCCCACGATATCGATCCTGTATCGTCACATTAAACCAATCCAATCCAACTTTATTTGTATAGCACATTTTATAAACAAAACAGTTTCCAAAGTGCTTCACATAGCAATGTCAATCATTTTATTAAAAAATAAATAAATAAAAATAAAAAAATCTGTAAAATTATGTTTCACCCATAAGGAAACTAATAAAATAAATAAATAAAATTATGATATCAAAGAACAAAAATAATAAAACCAATAAATAAAAATAGTAATAGTAAAACAATAAATAAATAAACTATAAAATACATTGATATTTTGCTAGTTTTGCTAGTTTTTTTTTTTATTTTTTTTTTTTTATTGAACCATATCGAATCGATTTGAAATATATTTTATTGAATCGAAAGCTCACTGTATCGAGATATGTATCGTATCGTGACCCGTGTATCGAGATATGTATAGTATCGGCAACAAAACCCACCCGTAATGAATAAATGCGAGATGGAAATGTTTAAAGTCACACCATGTAACATTCCAGGCAAAGCGATAACATCTCCACGGAGACAAGTAACGGACCCTCTACCAGAAAAGTTGCGCAGTGGACCTTTAACTACAAAAAAAATAAATAAATAAAAAATGTAGAGACCATATAGTATGTAAAAGTATGAATCTAACATTTAATATAGTTGAAAATTGGTAAAAAACTAATTTAAAAAGTACAAAAAAAGCAAAAAAGATGATGTTTCTACGTGTTATAACTTGCGTGTGTGTGATTGCATGATGAACGGACGGTAAAGGGGAAACTGCATTTGCATGATTCTTACATTTTGAGCACATTTGGAGTTGTCCTGAGCTGCGTGTCACTTTCTATCAGCTCCTCCATTGACTTGGCTGCTGACGAGTTTGAAAACCTTTCGTGACGAGAAGCTGGATTCTTCTCAAATGATTTCAAAATCCCGGGATTCTGAAATCGTGGTTCCTGCTTGGATTGGAGCGGACTGGGCTGGCTGGTCTCTGGTCACTGGCTGATTTTTTGGCTTGTTTTTTTTTTGTTTTTGTTTTTTTTTTTGGTTAAATCTCGTTAAAGCTGCACTGGAGTGTCGGTCTGCTTGGCTGGTGCCTCTCTGACTTTGGCTGTGTCAGTTTTGAAGCAGCAGGGGGCGCTTTCGGGGCTTGCAGCAGTTTAAATGCTTTGAGATGCACTGAGCTAAAGACTGGTGGCTACAAGGACTGCACACTTTGTACTAAAATTATATTGCTTATAACCTTAAATAAGAGAAACAACGAAAGTCTAGTAGGATATTTACTCTATATTACTAAGTAGAAATGTTGACATAAAAATATAATGAAATGAAATGCAAAATAATTCAAAATATATAGACTTGCGGGCCTATATTACACTGTTTTCTGATTGGTTTTAATATTGTTTTCGTCATCGCAAACATACCTGGAGTTGTTTTGTTTCATTCACACTAGGGCTGAACGATGTGTCGTTTTGAACCGAAAATCGAGATCTCAGACAACATGATTTTAGAAGCGTCAAAGCCGCGTTTTTTGCAGTGCTCCTTACAGTCCAGTTTTAAGGGCGAAGTTTAGTTCTGCGCTGAGTCAACCCACACTGGGTTGGGTGTCGCCTTGTCGCCGTCGTTTTTGATTCATGGATCTGCGTCGAGGTCTATGTGCCTCGAAGTAATTCACCGCCACAACATGAGGAGGTGAGATTTTAAACTTGGCTTTCGTGTTCAACATGAATCATCTCCAACGCGATAGAAGCACAGAAAGACTCACCATCAGCAGCACATCCTCTGTCACAGAAAGAACACTCATATTCCACTGAGTCGTGTCGTTTAGTCCGACACAAGCTGAACCGCCATCAGCAGCACAAGGAAAGAACTGTTTTTTTCAGCGCTTATAGTTTATGCAAATGAGTCATGTGGTTTTAAGTTTTGTTTCTGTAAAACGTCCAGCGTCAAATCATCGGTGCAGGACTCTGGTATGATGCAACTTTCTGTGATGTTTACAGATGTTCATGTGCACTGAAACTTGATTTGAAAAAAATCGTGGACGAAATCGAAATCTCAATATTTGCGAGATTTTTTTTTAAATCGTTCAGCCCTAATTCACACATATTTTCAACAGAAAACACTCCACCTTGTTCCACCTTGTCATGTCATGTGGTAATACAGGAAGTGCTCCACTGTTTTTTTAAACTCCATACACCATCACTAGAATCATTTGGATAATTTTCAATTTTGGAATTGCCAATCTGTACAAAACAAAGGAGCTGTTTGCTCTACAAATTTCTCTGATCTGGCCAAGATTTTAAAACTTATGTCAGGTTATTCATGTTGTTTTCAGATTTATTATGGATTTACTAGTTCTGAGATGCTTAATTCTAGTCTAGAAGTAGCTTGTCAAGTAAAATGATCTTGCTGCATGGACAGTTTCACTACTTTTAAGTCATTTTCTGATAGTTTTAACTGTTTAGATCTCAAATTTTTGCAAGGCTTTTTTGTGGTGTATCTTGAAAACTACCGCTTAATCGTGACATCACAAGGTGGAACAGAGCATTTTCAGCTTTGGAAATGTTTACAGACCAATAAATAAATGTGTGAATGAAACAAGACACAACTCCAGGTCTGTTTGTGATGAGGCAACAGCGTTCTAACATGACTTAAATCTCACAAGAGTCATGTTTGCGTAATATAGGACCTTTAATACTAATAAAAAAGAATATTGTATGAACATAATGCATGGGTGTATATATATATATATATATATATATTTAAGTACTTTATAGCACACTCAGGTCGACATTGTAAATAAGAATGTCCAGACGGAGACAGGTTTAATCAAATGTAAACCTTGAGTGTTAAATCCCCTGTATAGTCTGTGTCATAAAATAAATACTCAGGGACCCACAAAAACAAGTCAATATCATTTAAAGGCTCTCTGTTTACCGCGTTATAATTTGTTATAATTTGATATGGGAAATAAAAACATATATTTGACAGATGTTTCTCAATAACAGTGAAACCTACTGTGGCCCAAACATATAAAAAGTGTACCATAAAGTGACCTCTTTATTACACTAAATATACAATCATAATAAACTACCGTAAGTTACAGACTATAAGCCGCTAATTTTTTCTCACACTTTGAACTCTGTGGTGAATAAAATGATGTGACGAATATATGGACAGATTATTTGTCTGGCACATTGTCCATTCATATATACCAGACATGTCAAACTCAGGCCCGGGGGCCAAAATTGTCCCGTGATACAATTATATTTGGCCGCCAAGATCATATCAAATATGTATTAGAGCTGCCTGCCTGCTACAGATAGACTATAGAGAAAATGTTGTTATTATTTTATATTATTGTTGTTCTGGATTCAGTGTTTAAGCAAAACTATTATTAAACATTTATTTTAATAAGAAAATGTTTAACATTTCATATCTTGAAAGAAGAGAAAACATGCAGATGTTCTTGAAATTTTTCAGTAAATATTTAGTTTGGCCCATGACTTAGTCCCAGTTTTTAATTTTGGCCTCTGTGAATTTGAGTATATACGGTTTATGGTTTGATAACACAGCGGATGCGTGCAGAAAACGCCACTGTCTGTGCGATCTAGGGTTCACATGAAGTTGCTACACTAACTCGCGGTATCGTCAGAGCACTTAAACAGTTTATCGCCGTGTGTTAAAATAATTTAATTTTAAAATTTTGTTAAAATTTTATTAATGCAGCTTATATTCAGGTGCGCTCAATAGTCTGGAAATTACGGTACTATAAGAGCTGTTGAACTACATGCAAATCAGGACACAACCCAGGACTATATCTGGACTAAAACAGGTCCAAACCAGGTCTAGACCAGGAGCAAACCAGGATCCTAAAATGTACCTCAAGAAATTGAAAACAGCTTCTTTGGCGTCCAGGAGAAACTCAAACATAATAATAAAAAATGATAAAAATGTAAATTATCAAAAACAAAACAACAAAAAATCTAAGACACTCAATTATATAGTGAAATAATTTGGCTAAGAATCGCCAATTTTACCACAATATAAACAGAATTTGAAGAAAATATTAGCTCAAATTGCAGTTATCTTATGTTTATTTAGAAATAACTTAAAGGTTTTTAACGTGTTGCTGTTCATGTTTCTCTTTGGTGACTTAACCTGTTGTCTGACCTCTGACCTTTGACCCAGACTGTTGTTGGGACAGCGATGACTCCCCTCCCCCCCTCCCCAAGCGGACCCCCGAGTCCTTCATTCTGGCCACAGGTGCGTCTCTGGATCAGACACGGACACAGACGCGGCTCTGTACGGGCAGGTAGTGGCAGTGTGGCGCCCTCTGCTGGTGGTTGTGGAATCAGATTTGTGTCGTTTTTCGAGGTTTGAAAACGTTTTAATTCTTGTGAGGGAGGAGATTATTGAGAAAAGTGAGTATCTGATGATTTAATGAGGTTATTTCTATGATAATATTATGGTAAATGTGATAAAAATGCGTATGTGATTGTGTCGGTTGAACTCACGGAGGCGTAAATGAACTGTGAAATGAACAACAAAAGTGCAAATATATCACCTCATGTCTTATCTGGAAGATTACACTGCATATGTTTGGTTTCATTCACACGTGTTTGAGTAATTCTTTATTATTAGAACAAAATAAGTGCGCATTTCCACCTCGTGATGTCATTAAGAGCGACTTCAGCCTGTTACGATAATTACTATATTGACTATATTGGCTGGAACAATATATTTTAGGACTCAAAATTTGTTGTGTGTACATTTTTCTTACAATAGTTGGGATGTTTTTTCAATTTTTTATGTAATACAGTAAGATTTGAGGTTTTGAGGGATGAAAAAGTAACTTCCAGGACTAAATGTTGGTTCCTTTAGTTTTTTTAAATTTGTTGTAGCTCATGTTTTTGATGTTTTTAGTGGTTTCCAAAAATTAACCTGCTTTATTTTCAGTGGCATAGTTTCAATATTATGTTATCGTTGATTATTAGAGCAAAATAAATGCTCGGTTCCACCTTGTGATGTCATTAAGCAGTAGTTTTGAAGTGAACATCTCCCTACGCCTGTTACGAAAATTACCTATTTAGTGTTCAATATGTGAAAGCTGGAACAATATATTTTGGAGCTCACAATTTAAAAAAAAATATTGTGTGTACATTTTTGATAGAGTAGTGGAGACATTTGTTCTATTTTTTATGTAATACAGTAAGATTTGAAGTTAAGAGGGATGAAAAAAGTAACTTCCGAGACTAAATGTTGGTTCATTTTGCTATTTATTTTTTGTAGTTCACGTTTTTGATGTCTTTTTTTAATGGTTTACAGAAATGATCCTGCTTTATTTTCAATGACATAGTCTCAATAGTAATCCTTGATTATTAGAGCAAAATAAATGCTCTGTTCTCTCATGTTTTTGATGTTTTTAGTGGTTTCCAGAAATTAACCTGCTTTATTTTCAGTGGCATAGTTTCAATATTATGTTTGAGTTATCATTGATTATTAGAGTAAAATAAATGCTCGGTTCCACCTTGTGATGTCATTAAGCAGTAGTTTTCAAGTTAACAGCTCCCTAAGCCTGTTACGATAATTACTATATTGACTTGGCGTTCAATATATGAAAGTTTGAACAATATATTTTGGGGCTCAAAATGTATTGTGTGTAAATTTTTGTTACAATAGTGTAAATTTTTTAATTTTTTTTTCAATTTCTAATGTAATACAGTAAGATTTGAGGTTTAGAGGAGTGAAAAAGTCACTTCCAGGACTGAATGTTGGTTATTTGTTGTAGCTCATGTTTTTAATATTTTTAATGGTTTACAGAAATTATCCTGCTTTATTTTCTGTGGCATAGTTTCATCGTTTATCGTGATACTAAGCAGTTTTGAGACTTAGTTCTTTGGATTAAGTCTTGTCAAGGCATTTTAAGAGGAAAAAGTAGCATATTCACAGTTTTGTTTGCCTCCACAAAATATTGCAGTAAATATGTATATCGTGAAAATATTGTGTAAATATAATAAGAAATTTGGATTTTGTTACATCCCTTATCGTGAACCTCCCCACCGTATCGTGAGCTTTCCCATGATATCGTAATAAATATCGTACCGTGACGATATCGTATCGTGAGTCTTGGATATCGTTACACCTCTAATAGATATATATCGTGACAGGCCTGCAGCTTCCTTTTACATTTTGTTCCGTAGAAATTTCACCCAACTGATTCTAGTGAAGGTGCGTGGAGTTTCAGAACGCAGTGGAGCACTTCCTGTATCACCGCATGACATCACGAGGTGGAACGGTGTGTTTTCCTTTTGAGAGAAGAGCTCTTTGTGTGTCGAACATGTGTGAATGAAACAAAACACAACTCCAGGTCTGTTTGAGATACGGAAACAATATTATAATAGCGAGTTTTAAGAGGTTTTCGCTTGGTTGTTTTGTAGATTATCGGAGTTGTACGTTGTTTTTTCCTCTCACTATTATAATTTAAGTAGCAATAATACTTCAAAATGTTTGCTCTGAAGTTGTGTGGTATTTTCCTGTGAAGTAATTTGGTGTTTGAGTTTGCGGTAGTACCTTTGTTCAACACCAGAGGGCACCAGCGATCATTTTCTTAACAGTTTCTCTTGTCAAATGAATCCAGTGCAGCGTTTGGCCTCAGCACATAATGTTCTGGGATTTTAAAGTATATTTTTATGAATTTTTGCTGCTTTTATTGTCATTAATCATTGGTTTATTTGATTGAGTGAAGTATTATTGGTGATATTGTAATTACAGAGTTGGAATATAGAGTTAAACGAGACGGATATTGGATTTGTGTCATAGTTTTGTGAGATTTGAGGCTCGTTTGTGTTTAAAAACGTGTGTGTGTCTGCGTGTTGTTCAGTATTATTGTTATTCCTAAATCATTTTCTGCATTTAATTTATTTTTCCATTCCTCCGTCAGATCCGTTGGAGATTAAAAGCGCCGCTGCAGAGTGGAGCAGTTCACACAAAGGTAACACAAATATTATTATTATTATGAGTTTTGTGTCTCGCTGGATTTCACTTTGACAATATAAAAATATAAATGTGTTGTGTTTTAATTAAATAGGTCCAGGTTTTGCAGTGGTCTGATAAAACTCGTGACAAGATCATGTTTCGGTTTATTTTCAGTCCGTCGCCTAAACCAGGACTAAACTGATATTAAGGAGAATGTTTTAAATGTAAGGACTAAACCAGAAAATGAGGACCAAAACTAGGACTAAAGAAGAACTAAACCAGGTCAAAGGCAAGACTAAAAGAGGAACTAAACTAGGAGTAAACAAGAAGGACTAAACCAGAAAATAAGGTCTAAAAAAAATCTGGACTAAACAAGAACTAAACCAGGATTGCAAGACAAGCAAGAAGCAGGACCAAACTAGGACTAAACAAGGGCTGAACCAGGTCTAAACCAGGTCTAAACCAGGTCTAAACCAGGTCTAAACCAGGTCTAAACCAGGGTCTAAACCAGGGCTACACCAGGACCAGACCAGGATCAAACCAGGGCCAAACCAGGGCATAAGACAAAAAGGCAATATATGATTTGAACCAGGTCTTAACCAGGTCTTGAACAGGTCTAAACCAGTTACCTTTGCAGTACCCTTATGGTGATGGAATAAACCAGCATTAAACCAGGACTGAGCCAGGTCTAAACCAGGTCTAACCAAGTCTAAACTAGGTCTAAACCAGGTCTAAACCAGGTCTTAACCAGGTTTTAAACAGGTCTAAACCAGGTCTAAACCAGGTCTAAACCAGGTCTAAACCAGGTCTTAAACCAGGTCTAAACCAGGTCTAAACCAGGTCTAAACCAGGTCTTAAACAGGTCTAAACCAGGTCTTAAACCAGGTCTAAACCAGGTCTAACACAGGTCTAACACAGGTCTAACACAGGTCTAAACCAGGTCTAAACCAGGTCTTAAACAGGTCTAAACCAGGTCTAAACAGGTCTAACACAGGTCTAAACCAGGTCTAACACAGGTCTAACACAGGTCTAACACAGGTCTAAACCAGGTCTAAACCAGGTCTAAACCAGGTCTAAACCAGGTCTAAAACAGGTCTAAACCAGGAACAGGTCTAAACAGGTCTAACAGGTCTAACACAGGTCTTAAACAGGTCTAAACAGGTCTAAACAGGTCTAAACAGGTCTCTAAACCAGGTCTAAACCAGGTCTAAACCAGGTCTTAAAACAGGTCTTAAACAGGTCTAAACCAGGTCTAAAACAGGTCTAAAACAGGTCTTAAAACAGGTCTAAACCAGGTCTAAACCAGGTCTAAACCAGGTCTAAACCAGGTCTAAACCAGGTCTTAAACAGGTCTTAAACAGGTCTCTAAACAGGTCTTAAACAGGTCTAAACAGGTCTAAAACCAGGTCTAAAACAGGTCTAAAAAACAGGTCTTTAAACAGGTCTAAACTGGTCTAAACCAGGTCTAAACCAGGTCTAAACCAGGTCTAAACCAGGTCTAAACCAGGTCTTAAACAGGTCTTAAACAGGTCTTAAACAGGTCTAAACCAGGTCTAAACCAGGTCTAAACCAGGTCCAAAACAGGTCTAAACCAGTTTTAACTCAGTTTTAGTTGCAGTACCCTCATTGTGATGGCCTAAACCAGGTCTGAACCAGTTTTAAACCAGTTTTCCTTGCAGCAGCTGGTTGTGATGTCCTGTGATAAGAGCGCCGCGTTTCCTCGTACGGTCGGGTCGCGCTCGCTGCCGTTTATTGCCGTTGCTCTGTCGAAACCCGACAGGCCGAGCGGCGCAGGAAACGGACTCCACACTCTGCTCCGTGTTTGATAAGGAGAAAGTGGCAGAGGAGAGGCCGCGCTTTTGAGTAACGGCACAAAATAATAGAGCGGGAGATAAATCAGGTCGCCGTAGAAACACAATGGGAGCGGCGAGGGGCGAGCGCGGCCGGGTACAGCGCGCGGGACCTGCCAATTTAGCGCTCCATCGGTTTCTGTCATGAGTCGCGCGGCAAAGGGCGTAATTTAAGAATGCATGTTTGAGTTTGAATGAGCTTTTATGACTCGTGCGTTGGCGTTTGCGCGGGCGGCGGAGCGGAGAGGAGAACGGGCGAAGTTAAATGTCAGGAACTTTGAGAGTTGTAATGTTACACTGACCTGAAAGAGAAGAAGAAGTCGTAACGCGAAAATAATACAATGAAAACGTGACTGAACTGGGACTGATCTAAACCACTAAACCAGGACTAAACCAGGACTAAACCAGGACTAAACCAGGACTAAACCAGGTCTAAACCAGGACTAAACCAGGACTAAACCAGGTCTAAACCAGGACTAAACCAGGACTAAACCAGGACTAAACCAGGTCTAAACCAGGACTAAACCAGGACTAAACCAGGTCTAAAACCAGGTCTAAACCAGGACTAAACCAGGACTAAACCAGGACTAAAACCAGGACTAAACCAGGACTAAACCAGGACTAAACCAGGTCTAAACCAGGAGGACTAAACCAGGAGGACTAAACCAGGTAAACCAGGACTAAACCAGGACTAAAAGGACTAAACCAGGACTAAACCAGGACTAAACCAGGACTAAACCAGGACTAAACCAGGACTAAACCAGGACTAAACCAGGTCTAAACCAGGACTAAACCAGGTCTAAACCAGGTCTAAAACCAGGACTAAACCAGGACTAAACCAGGTCTAAACCAGGACTAAACCAGGTCTAAACCAGGACTAAACCAGGACTAAACCAGGACTAAACCAGGTCTAAACCAGGACTAAACCAGGACTAAACCAGGACTAAACCAGGACTAAACCAGGACTAAACCAGGACTAAACCAGGACTAAACTATTACTAGGCCAAGACTAGACCAAAGACTAGACCAAGACTAAACTAAAGAGTAGGTCAAGACTAGGCCAAGACTAGACCAAAGAGTAGGTCAAGACTAGGCCAAGACTAGACCAAAGAGTAGACCAAAGAGTAGACCAAGACTAGACCAAAGAGTAGGTCAAGACTAGACCAAAGACTAGACCAAAGACTAGACCAAAGACTAGACCAAAGACTAGACCAAAGACTAGACCAAAGACTAGACCAAAGACGAGGCCAAAGACGAGGCCAAGGACTAAACTGGCATTAAACCAGGACTAAACAAGGACACTGGGATTAAACCTGGGACTAAATTTGTGACTAAACCTGGGACTAGGCCAAGACTAGCCCGAGAACTAGACCGGGGACTAGACCAAGACGAGACTGGGATTAAACCAGGACTAATCCAGGACTAAACCAGGATTAAACTAGGGCTAAACCTAACATGGGACCAGACCGGGGACCAGACCGGGGACTAGAACAGGAACTAAACTAAGACATTATGATTAAACCAGGAACTAAACTGGGGTCTAAACCTAAATAAAACCAGGACTAAACTATGACTTTAGGATTAAACCGGGACTGAACTGGGGACTAAAATGGGGACTAAGCCAGGACTAAGCCAGGACTAAACCAGGACTAAACCAGGACTAAACCAGGTCTAAACCAGGAGTAAACCAGGAGTAAACCAGGACTAAGACTAGGACTAAACCAGGACTAAACCAGGACTAAGACTAGGACTAGACCAAGACTAGACCAAAGAGTAGACCAAGACTAGACCAAAGAGTAGGTCAAGACTAGGCCAAGACTAGACCAAAGAGTAGGTCAAGACTAGGTCAAGACTAGACCAAAGAGTAGGTCAAGACTAGGCCAAGACTAGACCAAAGTGTAGGTCAAGATTAGGCCAAGACTAGACCAAAAGACTAAGAAGAGTAGACCAAAGAGTAGACCAAGACTAGACCAAAGAGTAGGTCAAGACTTGGCCAAGACTAGACCAAAAAGACTAGACCAAAGACTAGACCAAAGACTAGACCAAAGACTAGACCAAAGACTAGACCAAAGACTAGACCAAAGACGAGACCAAAGACGAGACCAAAGACAAAGCCAAGGACTAAACTGGCATTAAACCAGGACTAAACAAGGACACTGGGATTAAACCTGGGACTAAATTTGTGACTAAACCTGGGACTAGGCCAAGACTAGCCCGAGAACTAGACCGGGGACTAGACCAAGACTAGACTGGGATTAAACCAGGACTAATCCAGGACTAAACCAGGATTAAACTAGGGCTAAACCTAACATGGGACTAGACCGGGGACCAGACCGGGGACTAGACCGGGAACTAGAACAGGAACTAAACTAAGACATTATGATTAAACCAGGAACTAAACTGGGGTCTAAACCTAAATAAAACCAGGACTAAACTATGACTTTAGGATTAAACCAGGACTGAACTGGGACTGAACTGGGGACTAAAACTGGGGACTAAAATGGGGACTAAGCCAGGACTAAACCAGGACTAAACCAGGACATTAGTATTAAACTAGGGCTAAACCTAACATGGGACTAAACCTGGGACTAGATCGGGGACTAGACCAGGGACAAAACCAAGATATTATGATTAAACCGGGGACTTAACTGGGGACTAAACCCAAATTAAACCAGGACTAAACAGGGGACTAAACCAAGGACTAAATTGGAACTAAATCATCTGCAAAGTGTTAATATCTAACACATGACTAAACAAAACCAAATAATAGTTTTAAATTCTGTTGCACACATCTGTACCAAGTGTTATCAAAACACCAAAATAAAAATGAGTAAATAATAATTGCTTAATCCATTTAAATCCACGTTTTGTTGTTGCTCTGTGACCCCCGCCGGACTAAACCCCATGTCCTGTTTTTGTGTTTCAGACTCATCAGATTGTGTTAAAAAGCCTTCTCCCTCAGACCCCAGCGCCCCCTCGCAGCCCACAGACAGCAGAGCGCAGCTGGGCGGGTAAGTCAGCAGTTATCGGTTTTATCTGTTGGGATTATTCTTCTAAAAACACAGAGAGTTTATTTAAAATGTTTTGTTGACTTACGGGTGACTTCTTACGCATTTCGAGCGTCTTAATTATTCACTACGATGAGTTGGTAAGCGCTTTTCACAACTTTCAGAGGCCACAGTGGAGTTTGTAGTCGCCATAATTCTAACAACAACAACAAACTAGAATAATAACGGTTGTAGAAGTTTTCATCTTAAGCCAAAGATGTTCATTTGGTCTTCTTATGTACTTATGTATATTAGAGTCTAACCGGTGCCTAATGGCCTTCAAAGTCTCACCACACTTGGTATATAAATCCGAGGTAGATGTGGCATTTTAAAAGTCTTAAAAATGTCTTAAATTTCATCTTTCTTCTTAAATTCTGTTGCCCAAGTCTTACATTTTTCACAAAGGTCTTAAATTTCATTAGCCTATTTTTTTTGTAAACTCAACCAGGCTGCAGTGTGATGTTAAATAGAGGGAGGGAAAAAAAACAACTATGTGAAATCATGTAACGTGAATGAACGTCTAATGTGGAGTATCCGCAAACAATACTTCGGTTTCTGACACCGGCGGCAATGAATAAACAATCAGTAGAGTGGAGGGAAGACGTTGGATGGATCATGGGGAAGTGCAGGTTTAATCCACATTGGCTCTTAGATTCTGGATATAATACCTGTAGTTGGTTGGTCATTATTTATTAGAACTGGATCTGGTGTTTTTCTGCAGAATGGGTGCGATGTTGGTCTTAATTTTCATTTAAGTGGCCTTAAAAAGGTCTTAAAGTCTTAAATTTGGGGTAGTCAAACATGGGGAGACCCTGAAACCTCCTCCTTTTCAAGCAGAGTCAAGGGGCTTGAACATTCAAAGATCACACTATGTTCACCTTTGAAATCAAACTATGTTGACCGTATTATTGATGGTAAATAAACTTCTCCTGCTTAAGACGTCCAGTTGGTCTCCAGACTTTTACCCTTTCTTGGACAAGCTGAAAACTTTAACTTGTTGGGTTCTTTTTTAAAGAGAATTCAGTAAAGTGTGTTTACCTTGTTGACATGTTTTAGCTGCTGCTGCATCTTCAGAACTGTGACCGGTGTTGGTGGTGACGTGTCGTATTTCAGCTGTTGTTACTTCCTGTGGGCGTGGTCTGTCTGATGGACCTGGCAGGTCGTTCAGACAGACCATTAGTGTGCATCATTTGCCCCAAAAATGCAGCTTGTTTTAAAATGTGACAATACCAATTAAAATAAAATCTGTGGAATATTTGCTCAACTGAATAATATCTACTGGGTTCACCAAAACTCTTAAGTTCCATCCTAACGGTGTCCATAAGGCTCTGGTAGAAAAATCATTTTTTCTCAAATAACCTTTTAAAAATGATCATTTTTATTATTATGTATCTATATTTATATTTATTATTATCATTATCATTTTAATAATAAGTTATAGTAATAATTTATTCAAGGTCCTTGAAGTCCCAAAGAAATGACACTTTTTCCATATCTCAGAAACGAATGATGATCGAGACATAAAACTGGTACCGAATGATACGTAATGTCCATATTTATATTCAACTTCCATTGATACTATAGGGCTAAATTGAATTATTTTTGATTTTATTAAAGAAAAACTGATTTTACAACTCAGATTTTTCAGCTTCTGCAGCACTAAACTTCAGAGTCTTGGTGGACCCAGTAAACATCAACAGAATTTCATGAAATTTTTGACAGAAGTTTACTTTGGCAGGTGTAAAAAAAAAATGATACTAGGTACAGATTGATTTTCAAAAAAATTTCATAAAGTTGGGCAAATGATGCACCCTAATAACTATATAAACTATTCTGCGTTAAAAATTATGTTCTATTGTATCATGTGTGTTTTTCTAGAATAGTGGTATCAAGTATCAGACCTTTTCCTTGGTATTTGAGTTTGAAGTTTTAATATTGTGACAACGCGAGGACAAAAGTAGATTTAAAAGCCTGAATAACAATAATTTCCTATTCTAAAATCATCTAGCTTTGTTTTAAAAATGCAACGATACGTGTAACATCCTCTTAAACTGTATTTCTGTTCATGTTTCAGGGTTCGGTAACCGCGGTGTGCAGCCCAAAGGCCCCCGGGAGCCCGCTGTGGAGCGGACATGACCTGTCCCTATAAAGACTCACTTATACTGCCCTCTACTGGCTGCCCCCACACAGTCAAAACAAGAAAACAGACCACACATTTTACATCACAACGTAACTCTCTACGGACCCTCCTTCAAAATGCAAAAACAGCAACTTTTTATTGGTGGCATTTTCATACACACACGTGCATACTGTTTTGTGTCTTGTATCGGATTAAAAGATTATTCCTGATGAGCCAATTTGAACACATAAACCTTTACTTTTAATTAGAGGTGTAACAATAACCAAAATATCGTGATATCGTATCGTCATAGTTCTCGTGGACCATCACAATATATCGAATTACAAGTCTCTCTGCTTAAATTAAGAGTTATGGTGCAGAAATAGATAAAAAAAAGACAGAACTACATAGACCATGATCCTTTGCTCCATTTCAGTGCAGACGACAAGAAGAAATAACAGTTCTAACACTTTTAAGTCTTAGTTCTTTGGATTAAATCTTATCAAGGCATTTTAAGAGGAAAAAAGTCACGTAATTATTCACAATTTTGTTAACTTCCACAAAATATCCCAATAAATATCGTACCGTGAGCTTCATACCGTGACGATATCGTATCGTGAGACTTGGATATCGTTACACCTCTACTTTTATTATTATTATTTCAAACATTACAACCAAATATTAGTGTTATAATTACGGATGCAACGGTCCAGCCTTGTCATTTCTGATACCGATTCCGAAACTAAAGCTTTACTTATCTGCTGATCCCCAATTAATTTCCTTTAAACAAAAATAAAATAACACAAAATGGATCCAAATGTGTTACGTAGCTGTCATTTATCAAGTTTCTCTAAATAAAAATGAGATTTCTAGACCAACTATGCCCCGTAAACACTTTTTACGTCGATTTCTGTCCAATCAGGATATCAACTGAACCGATATTTGAAAACCAATACCAATTTTTTAGACTTGGACTTTGATTTTTTTCAGTATCGGTGCTGATTTTCGATATAATTATCAAACTGGTGCAGCCTGAGTTAAAATAACGTGATCGAATTTAAGAAAATCATCAAAATATGTATAATTTATTGTAGTACTGCCCATTTTTTTATCCATGTGAGTAAGTTGCCGTTGCGTTTTGTGATTTATTTCTAAATATTTTTTATTAAATTGCAAGAAAATAGTATTATAACAAGTGCCATATGCTTTGGATGTTTATTTTATGCATCACTATAGAAAATCTAGACCCCTGCCAAGGCGTTACTTTTGTTTTATAATGCGATAAAGCGCCAAAAATATATTCTAGTTCTGGGGTAAATGCTTCTTTTTAAAGCCAAATTATCCAGATCCAAAAGTGTCATGATTTTAATATTATTATTGGTTTAACATCACGTTTAATCCACATGCCCTTCCGTTCTTATTTCTTAAAATTTATACAGAATTTACACAAAAATTTACGGTAAAAGCCATATCGTTTACATAAATCAGGAATTATCTTTGCCGATACAAGAAGCAAATTCCAAGTTTTTTTTTGTTTGTTTTGGTTTTTTTAACAACTTCTTCTAAGAAAACATAATTTAAAGGTGCACTGTGTAACTTTTCTGGTGGAGTTTCAGCCAACCGCTTGTCTCCATGGCGATACTGCTACAACAATTACAACCGGTTTTATCGCTAAACGTAATGAGTTGAAATAAAATAAACGTGTTCATATTAGGGTGCGCGCTTCTCCATAGATCTAACCTGTCACTGCTTATAAAAATAGATATGTTTAATGCAATACTGCGGAACATTCCAAGCAAAGCAGACCCTCCACCAGAAAAGTCATGCAGTGTAGCTTTAGATATACTTTTTTTTTTCTTTCAACATCTGTTTTTCGTTTCACAGTTTTTTCAGGGTGCTATCTTGTCCTTTTCTCTTTCTCTCTCCGTCTTTGCTGGTGCTACACTCGAAATGAAAAGCTAGAATTTGACGTTTTTGAAAATATTTTGGTTTGGTATTTTTTTATTTTGACGTCTGGTTAAAGTACTACCTTTTTTTTTTCAGTTCGTGCCATAGACTGTATAAAGAAATGGACTAAAGGAGAATGACGTTAGAGGTTTTGCGCGGGACAGAATTGTAATTTTCATTCCCGCTCCCGCTCGTATCTGCAATATTTTGTCCTGTTCCTGCCCGCAAATCCCGCAAAATGGGGACGTTAGCTTTCTTAAACTCTATCAAACACGAAGAAGCGGAAAGGAATTGTCTAAAATGTCTGCAAATTTAGGCTGCTTCAAATGTTTTTATTAATGCCAAAGGTAAACATGAATCATTTGTATATTTTACTTTACACTCATATTTAATATTCCTGTCCCGTGCCCACAATGAGCTTTCAAAATGTGTCCTTCACCGCACTGTTTTGCGTCGGGTCCCGCAGGAGCGCAGGGCTCTGTGCATTCGGCTCCAGTCAAATGAAGCTCATCGAGGCTGCAATTTTAGGCGTGAATTTGGAGCGAAGTCCATATTAGGAATAGACATTTATTTTCGGACAACATTGCAAAATAAAAACAGCAGGATCACATAGAGCGGGTTGATACGAAACACATTTTAAGACCACGTCTGCAAGTTTAGGCTGCTTAAAATATTTTTACTAAATATGTCCCTCGCCGCACTGTTTTGCGTCGGCTTCCGCGGGAGTGCAGGGCTGTATGTGACGTCACCTTCAGTCAAGTGAAGCTCATCGAGGCTCACAGTTATGAGGCTAATTTGGAGCTAAGTCCATATTAGGAATAGGCATTTATTTACGGACAAAATAGCATTTATTTAAACTCTAACACAGAGAAGCAGAAAGAAATTGTCTAAAATGTGCAGATTTTAGATTAGAGTTTAGAATTAAAGATTAGACCACGTCCGCAAATTTAGGCTGCTTAAAATGTTTTTATTAATACCAAGTTAAATATCCAGCAAAAATGATGGATGATAGACAAACATTAATAATTTGTATATTTTATTTTACACTCATATTCAGTTTACGGGACTGCAGTTTATCATCCTGCCCGAACACTCCCGCGTTGTGCAGTCCCGCTCCCGCCCGAGCTTTAAAAATGGTTCCCGTGCTGCACTGTTTTGCGTCGGGTCCCGCGGGATTTCAGGGCTCTATGCGACGTCACCCACAGCGTTCGGAGCAAAATAGCGAAATAAAAACGGCAGGATCACGTAGAGCGGGTTGACACGAACACATTTTAAGACCAAAACGACGAAGCTCACAGCAGCAGTTACGGAAAAAGTGTGACGATTTTTCAATGTAAAGTCAACTGGAGCCAGAGTCGATGGAGCCGGAAGCGCGCCCATGCCCGCTTCCTATTTGTTAGCCTTTGTCCATTTATATATACAGTCTATGGTTAGTTCATACTGTAGAAATATTGTCAGCTCCTTTCAGAGGGCATTATTTATTTCCGCAAAGTAGAGCCAAAGATGTAACCAACTTATTTTAACGTAAATATCGGCAAGTGTCGCGCAATCACGGGATCGTTTTGTCATTTCTTAGTAAAGCAAAGAACTCACTAGCAAATTAAATGTAGTAATAATTAAAGATAACAGACTATTTTTGCCAGCAATTCCAAGTGTTTTTCAATCAGTGTTACAATCAGCCAGTGTACAAGGTCTTATATTGTGCTTATCTGTTTTTTTTTTTTACTGCGATATATCTTGTGTTTGGTTTCATTTTTGCTGATTTAAAGGGCCCGTATTACGCTATTTTCTGATTTATGTTATAATGTTGTTTCCTCGTCACAAACAGACCCGGAGTTGTGTTGTTTTTTTTTTCCATTCACGCATGTTTAATTAACTCGCAACGTCTGCATTTTTAGGCTGAGTTCTTCTCTCAAACTGAAAACACGCCGTTCCACCTTGTGATGTCATGAAGTGGGAAGAAGTGGGAAGTGCTCTGTTGTGTTTTTAAACTCCACGCACGTTCAATAGAATCGTTTGCGTAGAAATTGGAAATTCCAGCGACGAAATCAACCAAACAAAAGAAGGTAAAATGTAGCTGTTGACTTGAAAACTACCGCTTCATGACATCACAAGGTGGAACGGAGCGTTATGAGGTTTGGAGATGTAGACAGACTAATAATAAAGTGTTACTCAAACATGTGTGAGTGAAACAAAACACAACTCCAGGTCTGTTTTTGAGGAGGTAACGACATTATAACATGACTTAAAGCTCACAAGTGTCAATTTTGCGTAATATAGGACCTTCAAAGGGACAGAATTTTCGAAATTTTGGACATTGGACGTCATTTCCTAGTGATCCGGAGACGTGTGGAGACACTTTTTAACATATTCTATCCAGTCCTTGTATTTGCAGAGGTCGCTGGTGTTGGACTAGTGCATGTCAATGGTCATATTTATCCTGCCACTAAAAACAGTCTTACCCACTCCACAAAACACCCGAAGAAAATCTATTATTACACCAGACTGTCCATGTAAATGTCTGTGTTGATAGAATAATGCTTGAAATAAATCTAACCTTGCGTCGCATGAATCGTCGCATGTTGAGGGACTATTTTCTCTGATATCAGTCCGCCGCTGCCGAGCTTTCTATCAAGAAGTACAACTCGCTGCTGCTGCTCAGACATACCATAAATTCCGGACTATAAGCCGCTACTTTTTCTCACAGTTTGAACCTTGGATAATAAAACGATGCGGCGAATATATGGACGGATTCTTTGTTTGGCACATTGTCCATTCATATATAGGGTTAGGGTTAGGGTCTATGGTTTAGTAACACAGTGGATACATGCAGCCTGAGTGAAGAAAATGCCGTTGTCTGTGCGCTTACACATGGATCTAGGGTTTACATGAAGTCTACATGAGCTCGCGATATTGTCAGCGCACTCAAACAGTTTATCGTCGTGTGATAAAATAAGTTATGATGCTAAATGATCATTAGTGAGCGGGATAAGTCTTACCCGTGTGTGTAAATGATGAGAAAATGTCTCAGACTTCAGTAGCCGGACATCCACTCAGACCTGATTGACACAACTAACCCCTCCCCCGAGAGAGTCTGAAATCTGCTGAAATCCTCCAAGACACTGACATGATACAGACAGGACAGAGACTCTTTCTGCAGGAGACATGCGCAGTAGAGACTAAATGATGCGCTGAGGAAGATGCTCGTTTAATTGTGTTTCGAACAGTTATTTTGCGCTTTATACACACACCCTCCTCACTTAAAACACACGAAGAAACGCAGATGACGCAGCTTTTAAGTTAAAGTCGATTGATGCGTCTGTGGAAGAAGGAAACAGAGCTGCCGCACGTGAGCTCGGCGTCAGTGAGTCGACGGTGAGATTTTGGCGACGGCAGCGCGACGAACTGACTCGACGCGAAAAGACGACAGAAACTTTCAGAGGCGATAAAAGCAGACGAACCAAACTCGAAAAAACGTTCTCGAAGACGTGGACACCTGCAGCTTATATTCAGGTGCGGTCTATATATGTACAACTTAAATTCAGGTGCGCTCAATAGTCCAGAATTTACGGTAAATCCTTCAAATGCAAGGTTGGTTTTACTTCTTTTACTTATTCTATCAACAAAAACATTTACATCGACAGTCTGGTGTAATAAAAGATTTGTTTCGGGTGTTTTTTGGAGTGGGTAAGACCAGCGACCTCTGGAAATACAAGGACTGGATGGAATATTTTTTTAAAAAAGCGTCTCCACACGTCTCCAACACTCTGGATCACGAGGAAACGAGCTCCTATGTCCAAAATTCCGCACTGTCCCTTTAAGGAATCTTCTCCGGTATAAAGACAATTCTCAATTCCGACAGCAGCCTCTAGAGGGAGCCAGGTTTAGTACTTAGGTCTACTGCTTTAGCACCATCGACATTACTGTACAGGACGGTTTATTAATATACTTACACAATTTGTCACATTTTTTTGCAATCTTTTAAACTTAACAGAAGATGTAAGAAAGTCAATGCATGATCGTAAGACTATTTTTGTTTTTCTTTATTTGTAAATTATTCTGAACAGACTTTGCAAAGATTTCAGGGTTATTTTTTATGTTTGATCTGTTTAATAATTTTGAAAGATATTGTTTAATGAATACACTGGCGGAGTTAAACTCGCACTGTGGAACTTTTCGGGGCGGAGGCTCCGTTAAAACGCTTTTCGTTTTCCGTGGAAATGTTAGTTTCGGGCGGGAATGCTTCACGGTTTGGGTGTTAAACCCTTCTGTCGTCATGGAAACCAGATTTTAGACAGCATGGCATTAAATCTTTCTGTCTATCATCGTGGAAACCGAACTTTTAGACCGAGTTGCAGGTCAGATCTGCGGAGAGGCGACCCCGCTCACAGTCAGAACGCTGGTTTTTCTACATATTTTTTGAGCTGTAAACCCACTTGTAATTGAATAAACGTAAAGTAGAGCTGTTTAAAGTCACACTGTGGGACATTCCAAGCGTAGCAATGGCGTATCCACGGAAACGAGCAAGCGACGGGCCTCCTGCCTACCAGAAAGTTACACAGTGCGCCTTTAAAGCTTTGACTGCCAGGACAGAGATCTACCACGGGCTCCTAAAAGATTGTAAAGATATTAATAATGATAATAATAATAATGGTTGTTTTTGTAAATTGTATTTTAAAAGTTATTTTTGTATACACCGTTGTCTGTCACTCCACCGCTTCTCGTTCGAACCTGAACACGTAACGGAAAATCTCTCTCCTTTTGAAGCTAGATCTCTTCGTTCTCTTTCCCGATCTTTTTCGCTTTTTCGCTTCTTTACGTACGCTCAAAGTAACAGCTTAATTTTGATCGAATTACGTCGTTTTTCCTACGACGTTAAAGCCGCAGTGTGTAACTTTTTAACTTTTAAGGATTCAAATAAAAGCGTGTTGTTGTTTTTTAAATTTTGGTTGTGTTAACTGCGCTGAAAAACGGTAAAAAAAAGCTAAAAATGTCCTTACAGCGACTGGGCTTGCATCTCCGCAAACCTGACTCCTCCTCCTTGTTTCCATGGAGATTAAGTTCCTTTCTGGCTATAATCTGGTGTAAAACATATCGGACTCCATGGAGAATGATCCAGTGTTTGGTTTTTTCCATGGAATCATACAAGTGACAGGCCATTTGCAGAAAGTTACATACTGCGGCTTTAAATTTAATGCAAGCGTTTTTTTTTGGGGGTTTTTTTTAAGCTTTTTTGGTTAAAATGGACTTTCAGTTATCGTAAAAGTTTAGATGTTTAAAAAATGACACATTTGATTAACAGTCCTGTTATTTTTGAGTGTATTTTCCTTTTTTTTTTTTTTTTTTTTCCATCTTTTCAATCATGCTACCAAAATGTATTAACCCCTTTCAATTATTTTTGTTCCGCTGTCCAACATTTAAGGTTTAGTCTGCAAAAATACGCCTTCGTTCAAATAGAAACTCAGAATTTTCATCTTGATTTGAGTAAGTTTGACTAATTTTGAGGATCCGTTTGGTTTGAAACTGTTATTTTTATTCATTTATTTTCTCAGCGTCCGTCAAAAATAACCTTTATTTGGAAATTCTTAGCCAAATGATTTTACAGACTTATAATATAAAAACAGTGCACTTATATAATAGGAAATGTGTGAATTATTGAACTAATTACAAAATAAATCTGAATAAGGGTTGTTAAAAGTATCGAAAATCAGATACGAATCGATACTCAGACCGATTTAAGGTTGAAAATGACGTTCTGTTGTCTAAAGAAAGTGTTTTTATTATCATTGTAGTATCGAAATTCGTTCCAAAATTAGTCAAAGCTGCTCAATTCAAGATTTCTGAGTAATTCTAACTCATCGCGATTCATTTTTTGCTGTGAAAACTTCTATTCTTTCTACCTCTCGTTTTGTATCGCCCTCCCCGCGCACTCTAGCCTCAGAAAGAGCCTGCCTGTGCCTTTAAGACTCTGCCCCCGCCCCCTTTCCCCTTCCTCTCGTCCAATCGGCATCGCCACAATCACACGTGCCCCTCCTCCCACTTTCGCCCACCCGTTTAGCCAAAAGTTGCCCCCACCTCCGCCCCGCCCACATTTAGTTTGTATGTTGCAGAAATCAATCAATAGTAGAGCTCTTTTTGTACCTGTAAGTATTGGACATAATGAGATGTATGCGTGCGTGTGTACATATGAATAAAAATGCATTAGTTTACAATCTACAGGTGGTTCATGGATCACTTTGAATTGTCTCCGAAGCCACAAGAAATAAAAGAATTTAATCATGTGCAACTCTGACTGTGGTTTTCATTTTTATCATAATATAGAAGGTTTTGTTACACATTGAATTTCGGACTAGACGAGGACTAAACCAGGACTAGAACTGGACCAAACAAAGTGTACTTCAAGGCTAAACCAGGATCAAACCAGGACCAATCTTGGACAGTATTAAGGTTTTGCATCTACGTCACAAAACCACGTGACCTGGTGTTTATGCCGCCATATTGGAGGTCAGACTATCCATCTGGACCAACGTGTAGTATTTGTGTGTGATAAAATTTGAATTGAATAACAATGGTCATTCCCACATATTCTGGGACTGTCCTAAACTAACAACATTTTGGAGGGACGTGCAATGCGAAATTGAAAACTGTTTGGGGATCAAAATTATATTAGACCCATGTAGTGTTCTGTTGGGAATTTTTCCAAACAACCTAAGAACAAATAGCCATTTTCATTTGCTGAAAATTTTACTTTTAATTGCAAAAAAAATGATAACGGTCTCCTGGCTCAGACCGCTGCCCCCCACAATTACCCAGTGGAAAAATAAAATAAAGGATGTATATCATATGGAGCAAATAACTGCAAGGTTACAAATGAAGACAGATTTATTCATGGACAAATGGTCTTCAATTCAGGCCTATATTTCAAAAGGATGACTATCTTTTATAGGATTTTTGTTGTAGTGTGTGTAGTGTATATTATGAAAGATGAATGAGGAGATTGTGTATGACTGTATCTATACTGTATACTGTATACTTTGTTATCATTTTACTTGTGTTGCATCCTTGCTGCTGTTTCATAATTATGTGGCTTGCACCAAATTAATTTAATAAAAATAAGTTCAAAAAAAAAAAAGAATAACAATGGTTTTGACGAGGGCCGAGCACATTAACGCTTTAATTTTGCATAAACTAATTAAAATCATTATCACCAACAATTATTTTAACGCCGTTAACGCAGTTTTTATTATTTATTTATTTATTTTATTGTAAATATCTGTTTCTCACTGGCTTTTATTTTGAAAAAGTCCACCGCGAGAGTTTCTTTAAGTTTGACGTCTTTTCTTCAGACTTTTTTCTGACCACGTGAGATGCAACGTGTCCGTGCCGCCGTGGGCCGTGGGCTCTGAGCGTCCGCGGGCTCCTCCGACCAGGTCGAGGGCCGCGGGTTCTTCAAATAGAGGTGTCGTTTTTGTCGCTGCGGTCTTGCTTACATTATGCTACTACGGGGTATTTACGAAGGATATGACTGGCTAAGACAACTGTCAATCTCAAACTTCATTCCAGGCACCGAATGTCCTGCAGGTGTTTCTTTAGTTCAGTACTGCAGGGGGAGTCACTTTAATAAAGTCGAAAAAGGAGATAATTTAACAAAGGCTAAAATTAGGCAAATCGTGAACAAAAAAACAGGCGTAACTCAAATCAAACTGAACAGAACAAAACTAACCCGACCAGACAAAGAACAGGGGTGAAAAAAATAAATAAAAGCACAAGTGTAAGTAAATCAGACTTAAATTAACTAAAATGTGTGCACCCAAATTAGAATACAAGTCTAAATAAAGGAATTAAAGTATGTGTAATGTAATTAACGTAATGTAAATGAAATGAAATGAAATGAAATTATACTGACACTATGGAGTGGTGGTGGCAGAGGTGTCCACCACAACCATGTTATAACAGTACTAGTAATGCATCGGTTTTATGTAGCACTTTTCTGGACACTCAAAGACGAGGTAACACTTTATTTTAGGGTACACTTATTAAAATCTAACTTTTCTTTTTGTAATTATTATTATTTCTTTATTTATTTCATTCATAAAGTATAAAAAGACATAAACAGTGTCACAACATCAAACATACAAGAAATGAATGAAAAAGAGTAGAAAGAAAAGTGCCGTATTTTTCAGACAATAAATCACACTTTTTTTCATGGTTTGGCAGTTTCCTGTGACTTATGCTCCGGTGCGACTTATATATTTAAATTTTCACACTGAAGCCATGAGAGGTTCTAGTCTTGTGTGTCAGGATCTGCTGCTCCTGTTCCTCCTGTACCACTGTCACTTCACTCTACTGCACATGTCTCCTGCAGAAAGAGCCTCTGTCCTGCTGCAAATAGTGAAATATTCAGCTGAAAACAGTAATCGAGCAGCAGAAAGAAAGTTTGGAGTGAGCGAGAAACTTGTGAGGGACTGACGGAAAGTGGGGATGGAGAACACAGCTTCAAGAAAACCAGGAGGATGTGTCATGAAACTTTCCTGAAGTCACTGGATGGATGGACAAAGTCTGGACTTCAGTGACACCGAAATCATCCTGTCGGGATTCAGAAAGACCAGAATAATTCTAACTGGAACTGATGCCGAGTCTGATGACAGCGACACAGAAGAGGAAGCAGCGTCTGTTTACCTCATGGATCTATGGTTTATCTCCGGAGGTTGCGCAGAAGTGACACCGAGGATGAAGAATTGAATGGATTTAGTGATTTGGAGTGAGATGGAGAGTTTGGTACACTTATGTTCCGTTGTTTATGCTATAATTATCTGAATAACTGTGACATTAACAGTCTGTTGTTCTCTGTTCTGTTGTTTTTACTAGAACTTGACTTTTAAGATAAAATGTCGGTTCCTGGTCTCTGATTTTATCAAATACATTTCCCCCAAAAGTGCAACTTATAGTCCAGAGTGACTTACAGTCCGGAAAATACAATAATTTTATGTTATCTGCCAACTTTTCCAGACAAAACATCAACACTGATAGTTACTTTAAAACATTTCAAGTCAGCTTTTTGTCTGAGTGAATGTTCAGTTGCTTTTATTTTTTTATTTTTTTTATTATTACTATCATCCAACATACAATATTTATAATTTATAAAGGTCCTAAGATATTATATTGACAAATCTAGTGACATGTATATTTCTGTATACTTTGCTTGAAAGGCTGATTCATCTTTTTGACTTTTTGGCTGATGTCTTATTTAATGGACCAGCACTGTGTATTGGATGTCAAAAACACAATAAACAGAGTGTTAAAAAAAACAAAACAAAAACATTTCAAGTCAGTAGATTTCAGTTCAGGCACAATTATTAATCAATTGCAAACAGAAATGCACAACAACTTAAAGGGTTGTATGGAGGATTTTTTTTTAGTTTCAAATTGTCATTGAAAGTTTAAAATACCATTACAGAGACGCAGCAGCCTTGTAATTATGATTAAAAAAAAAAAAAGAATGAAAATCTATCAGTTGTGGACGTAGTGATGCCAGATAAAAATCAGCCAATAGAAAACGAGGCTCCCTCTTTTTCTATTGGCTGTTAGGTTGTCAGTCAAACTCCCTACATTTTTAGTGTCGGTGCTCGGGGAATTATGTGGTTTTATGCGGCGGTTCTTTGAGGCTTTTTCAAACTGTAGCTTCCTTGCAATTCGCACAAAGTTTCACGACCAGTTCGCCGCGAAAGAAAGTCCGACGGGTCTAAAAACTGACGTGTCGGTCGCTAAAATATTTCTAGGCAGGTCACTTCAACAGTGATTCTGAACACGCACTGGATGTAAACAAATGTGATTTCTAGAGTAAAGAGGCGGGAGGAGGAGATGTTTCTACTGAGGAAGGTGGTGTCACACATGCACAACATTTGAAAAAGGACTGTCGCTGTATTTCGCTTCCCTTAAAAAATCCTCTATACAACCTTTAAACTTCTTAGGTTCTTTTTAAAGACAATACAGTAAAGTGTGTTTACCTTGTTGACATGTTTCGGTTGCTGCTGTAAACCATCTTCAGAACTGTCACCAGTGTTGGTGGTGACGTGTCGTATATCAGCTGTTGTTACTTCCTGTAGGCGTGGTCAGACCTGATGGACCTGCAGGTCGCTCAGACTGACCACGCCTCCCGTCGCCCGGTGTCTCTGGAGGAGGGTGTCCCAGGTGTGTGAAAGGAGGAACGCTCCGTCATCACGGTTAACGCTGTCTGTGCCTCGTTTTCTGATTTCTCTGTCCTCCCTGATCCTGCGTTTGAACTTGTTGTTTTCTGATCCGATGACCCGAGCCCCGTCCCGATCCATAATGTGGTTGTTCCTTTTACAGTGGCCTGATGTGGCGGATTTTAGGTTTTCCTGTTCTGCTTTGTCTTTTTGTGTTCTGGTGAGTCTCCCTGATGTTTCCTTTTCGCATTCCTTTTGGTGTTCCTTTTTTTGGTTGTAAAATGCCCAGCCCGTTTCCCCTATGTATGATTTATTGCATGATTTGCATTGAATTTCGTATATGGCGTTGCATTTTTGTTGTTGTGGGATTTTGTCCTTGGAGTGTACGAGCTGTTGTCGGACGCGGGGGCTCGGGTCATTGGATCGGAAAACAGCAAGTTCAAACGCTGGATCGAGGAGGCCATTGAAATCAGAAAACGAGGCACGGAGCATGAACCGTGACGACGGAGCGTTCCTCCTTTCACACACCTGGGACACCCTCCTCCAGAGACACCGGGCGACGGGAGGCGTGGTCAGTCTGAGCGACTTGCCGGGTCCATCAGGCTGACCACGCCCACAGGAAGTAACAACAGCTGATATACGACACGTCACCACCAACACTGAGGACAGTTCTGAAGATGCAGCAGCCGAAACATGTCAACAAGGTAAATACACTTTACTGCATTGTCTTTAAAAAGAACCTAAGAAGTTAAAGTATATAAGAAGACAAAATTAACATCATTGACCGCACAACAATTTAGTTTCATTTTTTATACATTGCATTTGATTTTATGTGTTTTTTAAATGCCGTTATTGTACTTGATTCTTTTTTTTTCATTTTTTTTTTTTTCATTTATAGACGACTTAACCAGCTAAGCCACCGTCTCCACCCAAATGTAATCACCTCTTACTTCTGTTTTAATCATATTCTGTCTTGTCCCTCATTTAAATTCACCTGCTGTTCTCAGAGACGCGCAGCGGGGGGCGCCACACTGTAATTACACGGTCTTACTCACGCGAACGAAGCCAGTGCTGATTAATTATACCGAAAACGTTTCACTCAAGGACGGTTTTGACAGGTGTGGAAGAAATCAGCTGTTTCGTGGTGTGATTTTCATTTTAAAGCTGCGTTATGTAACTTTTCTGATGGAGCGTTGACCTCATTTTCTCCAAAAGTTCCAAAAAGTAGATCATTAAACTTTTATCTCCGTGGATGCAATCATTTTAAAGGTGGACTATGTAACTTTTTTAAAACCACTTTACTTTATGTATTGAATTACAGGTGGTTTTATCGTTCAAAAATACCAAGAAAAACAAGATTCTGACTGTGAGCGGGGTCGCCTCTCCACAGATCTGACCTGTAACTTGGTCTGGTTTCGGTTCCATGATAAAAGGTGACTAATATGGAACTTCTGGTGGGAGTTCCATCACCATGTTATTGTTTATTTATGTCAGTGAGTTTATATTTATCTTGCTTTAATTCAATTTTCAGGTGTTACTGGTTGAGAGCGGTGTTGCCTCTCCACAGATCTGACCTGTGACTTAAAGGGACAGTCTGGAATTTTGGACATAGGAGCTCATTTCCTCATGATTCAGAGTGTTGGAGACGTGTAGAGACACTTTTTAAAATCTTCCATCCAGTCCTTGTATTTGCAGAGGTCACAGGTGCATGTCAATGTCCAGAGTTATAGAAAATCTATTATTACACCAGACTGTCGATGTGAATGTCTGCGTTGAGAGAATAATGTTTGAAATAAACTAACTTTGCATCGCATGGTTGCATCGTTTAATGTGCTGATACAGTATCGATATGTTGCCAAGAGTGTTTTTTTGGTTTATTTTACTAAATAATTTTGTTACAGCTACAGTTTTGTTGCTAGTTTGTAGAAAGGAAACTTGTTTATGCGACACATTTGACATTTTCACTGTTTTGAAGATTCCGTATCAACAAGTCAACATCAACAATATAACATCAACATCGTCAACAGTTATTGCCGAGTAATGTAAGTAACGTTTTTGATCCTCAACATTCAGTGACTTAGAGAAAGATGATGAAGTCATGTCAAAATGATTAAATGCAAAACCTACTTCAAAATAAGACGAGTTTTCTCATGACAAACGCAACGCAACTGTCAACACAAACAAGCGGCTCCAGTGACTTTTTGCCTACCAGCCACTGCGCAACTGAGGAAACAAACAAAAACAATGTTTTCTCGTACAGAAAGCTCAGCAGCGGTGGACTGATATCACCGAGCACCTTGTGGCCATACCGGCTTGTAAAAGCCTGTATGGCAGATCTCAGAAGCTCAGCAGGGTCAGGCCTGGTTAGTACTTGGATGGGAAACACTGAGAAAATCAGGAGCCACAGTGAGGTGCCAGTGGGAATAACTGTCACTATGTCCTTAGGCAAGACACTTCACCCACATGGCCTAGTATGAAAGTGGTGTGTGCATGAGTGATGGTGGTGGTTGGAGGGACCGATGGCGCCGACTGGCATGACAGCTGCCCTTCAGTCAGTCTGTCCCAGGGCAGCTGTGGCTACAATAGTAACTTACCATCACCAGGTATAGAGTGAATGAATAATGCTGAATAATGCTCTGTAAAGCGTCTTTGTGACAAAAATGTCTGTGAAAAGTGCTATAGAAATAAAGACTTACCTATCTTACCAACAAAGCAAAATTCCGCTGCTGCTGAGAAAATAGTCCCTCAACATGCGACGATTCACGTGATGCAAGGTTAGATTTGAAATAAGGTTAGATTTATTTCAAACATTGTTCTATCAACACAGACATTCACATGGACAGTCTGGTGTAATAATAGATTTTCTTTGGGTGTTTTGTGGAGTGGGTAAGACTGTTTTAGTGGCAGGAAAACTCTATTGTTAAACCACTTCTTGTGCAAGGTTCATATGAAACACAAACAGTTTAAAATGTCAAATGTGTTGCATAAACAAGTTTCCTTTCTCCAAACCAGCAACAAAACTGTAGCTGTAACAAAAGTATTTAGTAAAATACACCAAAAAAAAATTACTATTATTATCACATTAAACGATACGATTCATGCGATGCAAGGTTAGTTTTATTTCAAACATTATTCTGTCAACACAGACATTTACATCGACAGTCTGGATGGAATATTTTAAAAAGTGTCTCCACACGTCTCCAACACTCTGGATCACTAGGAAATGAGCTCCTATGTCCAAAATTCCTGACTGTCCCTTTAATTTCTTTTAAATATAAAGTAAAGTACCTCTGATTAAGACTACTACTTTAATACTACACTAATATTTACTTTTCCAACGCTTTATCTCTTGACTTCACCACTTAATTGATTTACCATTAAGGCAGTAAGTCTTTTTTTTTATTCCTGATTAACTTGAATTGCCCGTTTTTCACACAGAATTGGCTCTGAGCATTACTGTCATTCATAATCCTTTGTTATGGGCTCACAATAAGTAATTATGTGGTACATTGGAGAGTTTTGCTTACAAGTCTTGAATCAATACTTCGCTTGTTTTGCCTTGAGATAACATCACTACACATGTTATGGTTTGATTTATTCAGATGCTTTGTTTCCCCAGGCGGTGTTATTGTAGGAGGATGACAGGCATCACACACAAAGGCTAATACACAGAAATTATGTCGATACAGTTAAAGCGGCGCCGTGTTTCGTCGACTCTATAGATACAGCGCTGGAAAAAAATAAAAGACCTTGCTTCCTTCTGTTCTGACAATGTTCTCCAACTCTGAGGACTGTTTATTTTTCCAGCAGGACAAAGCTCAATGCCGAACATCTAGATCAATCAAGGTGTGGATGAAGGACGACCAGATCAAGACCCTCTCATGTCCAGACTGATCTCCAGACATGAACCCACTGAAAACCTCTGGAACGTGATCAAGAGGAAGATGGACGATCATCAGGGTTATTCCACCAAATATTGATTTCTGAACTCTTCCTAAGTTAAAACATTAGTATTGTGTTGTTTTAAAATGAAAATGATCTTCTTGTTAAGGTGGGGGACGAGGGACCCAAAAGCAGAATCAGAACACAGTCAAGTTTAAGCAGTTTATTGTACAAACGAAGGCAGGCTGAGGAGGCAGGGAGCTGGCCAACTTCTCCGGAGGCAACGGCAGACGACCAGGAGACACCTGGGAGAAAACAGGAGTAGGTAAATCCAGGGCAAACAATAAGCAAGACGGGAATAAATCCAAGAGCCTGGTGACGCTACCGAACAGGACGGAATTATCTGGCAAAGTGGTGATGAGGAGACCAGGGCTAAATACTGAGGTAGATGAAGGGATTGATTGCAGGTGTGTCTCGTCTGCTCCGGAAAAAGCCAGCCACGCCCCCTGCCACACTCAAGCTCTGAAACAGAAAAGGGAGGGGGAGAGAACAAAAACACAAATCCTAACACTTCTTTTCTTTGCGCCTTTTTTTATCATTTTGACCATTTGTCATTTTCTGCAAATAAATGCTCTAAATAACAAGATTTTTATTTGGAATTTGGCAGAAATGTTGTCAGTGGTTTATAGAATGAAACCAAAATGTTGATTTTACTCAAACACAAACCTATAAGTAATAAAATCAGAGAAAGTGAGAGCTGTACGTAACTGCTGTGCCTGTAATGTCCCGCAGTATGACATTAAACAGTATAGTTACACTGCGAAAAAGCTTGGCCAAAATTTAAGATATAAACACTTCGCACACCAGTGTACACAGACACAAGGGGTGGGTTAAGTGTCTTGCCCAGTGACACAATGACAGCATTCATCTGTAGGAGCTGGAATCACACCACCAACCTGTGGGTCAGTGGATCTCACCGCTCAAACAGAATGATGTTTATGTCAAGAAGCAGGAATCGTACTCCAAACCTTCGGTGCGGTGGACAAACACTCTTATGAAATGAAAGAAGAGATCCGAGGCACTCTGATAGGCTTTGCTATGATTTTATTTTCATGTCGAACAACATTATTTCATGTTTAAAATTATAGCAAAGCATCTGACAAGTTATTCTTCCCACTTAGATGAAACAACCAGGTGCTCTTCCGACATCCCATTTCTTTACACAAATAGGTGATTAATATGTAACTTCTGGTGAGAGTTTCATCACCATGTTATCATGTATGTCAGTGAGTTTATATTTCTCTTTCATTAATTCAATTTTCAGGTGTTACTGGTTGAGAGCGGTGTCGTCTCTCCACAGATCTGACCTGTGACTTAAAGGGACAGTCCAGATTTTTGGACAGAGGAGCTCATTTCCTCGTGAGCCAGAGCGTTGGAGACGTGTGGAGACACTTTTTTAAATATTCCATCCAGTCCTTGTATTTGCAGAGGTCACAATAGAGTTATCCTGCCACTAAAAACAGTCTTACCCGCTCCACAAAACACCCGAAGAAAATCTATTATTACACCAGACTGTCCATGTAAATGTCTGTGTTGATAGATGAATGTTTGAAATAAAACTAACCTTGCATCGCATGAATCGTTGCATGTTGAGGAACTATTTTCTCAACAGCGGTAAGATAGGTGCTAGGTGATATCAGTTCTCTGTTGCCAAGCTTTTTATATGAGAAATTGTTATTGACCAAAATTTAAGATATAAACACTATATCTATCTATCTATCAGAAAATGACTTGAAAGTAGTGAAATGATCTGTCCATGCAGCAAGTACTTGACAAGTTATCTTAAAATAAACTACCTCTAAACTAGAATTAAGCATCTCAGAACTAGTAAGTCGATAATAAATCTGAAAACAAGATGAATAACCTGGATATAAGTTTTTAAATCTTGCAAATCTTCAATTACAGGTGGTTTTATAAGTCAAAAATAGCTACAAAAACAGACATTCTGACTGTGAGCGGGTCGCCTCTCCACAGATCTGACCTGTAACTTGGTCTGGTTTGGTCTGCATGAGCATACAACGGTTTAATGCCACACTGTGAAACATTCCAGACAAAGTAATAGCATCTCCACTGAGGAAAGACGGAGGAAAGTTACACAATGCTAGGCAGTGGTGTAGTGGGGATTTTTTTAAGCAGGGGTACATGATTCGTGACTGAACCAGGATTAAACCAGGTCTAAACCAGGACTGAACCAGGACTAAACCAGGTCTAAACCAGATCTAAATCAGAACCAAACCAGGACTAACCTTGGACTTCTTGGATGCCGGTCCTTTTGCCTGTGGTCACCCGACGGTCTACGCGGGCACAACTCCAGGCCCATTGAAACACTCAGTCCTGGTTTAGTTCTTGTTTCGACCTGGTTTCGACCTGGTTTCGACCTGGTTTCGACCTGGTTCAGTCCTGGTTTAGTCCTGGTTCAGTCCTGGTTGGTTTTACTTCTGAAACGATTCTTTCGACACGACCAAAACTCCGGACTGTCCCTTTAAATGCTTAATTTGAGTATAAATGTACAAATGTTCTTTTCAGTACAGTTCACATCCTTAATAATGATTCTGTAGGGTTATTTTGGAATGAACAAAACAAGAAAATGTAATACTTATTTACAGCAATACTACTTTTGGGGCACTCAATCAATCAATCAATCAAGGTGACCAAAGTTTCCAAGTAAAATCAACATAATATAAAAACATACAAAACTTAAACAATTAAATAAAACACTGCATTTCTGAGAGTTTAAAGCCTCTGAATGAGAGTATAATCTAAAAGTGTACTCAATATAAAAATGGTGTGGGAATCATATACAGACGTGTTAATAATCTGGCAATAAGGATTTCCCAATAAGGAAAAAGAAATCGTCTCTAAATCTCCGAGAGCAACACAGTGGAGCTTAGAGTTTCGACCAGATGAGAACATTAGTGCTTTGAGGGTTAAATGTTTAAATCACTTGATCCTCTGAGCCTGGAGCAAAGGGGGAGCTTTGGGTCATGAACAGGATCTTAAGTAAATCTACACAAAGAGGCTGAGTGCTGCTGCAGAGAGACGAAGAGCTCAGACACACGGGACGAGCTCGGAGTAGAGACGCTGCTCCACCACGAAGAGAGGAGAAGCTGGACAAAGAAGCCTATTTTTTACCTTATTTTAACGCATGTGCTTATTTTTTATTTGATTTGATCATAGTTTAATGTTTATTATTATTAGTCTTTGTTTAATTTTGCACCGTAATGTCAAAGCAAGTTTCTAATTTGTAAATTTTGTTCCCTGATAACGACAATAAAACAAAATTCTGATTCTGCGCTTCTTCTTGTCAAAGGTGGCAGCAAGTCGTCGTTTTGCGAGTCTCAAGTAAGTTTCAAATCTTTGACCTCAAGTCCGAGTCAAGTCCTAAGTCAAATACAGGCAAGTCCAAGTCGGGTCTCGATTCACTGGCTCATAAGTCCAAGTCAAGTCCAAGTCGTCTGCTTTGAGCTTCAAGTCATTTCAAGTCTTTAAACCAAAGTACCAAATATAGCTTAGATTTTAGCAATTTATATTAATTTTAAGATAAATTGTTCTTATAAAGTCATAGTATATTTGAGTATTTATAGAGTGAGTATATAAGAGTTTAGTTTAGTTTATTTATTTAATGAGACAAAGACAGTGCACAATATGCATTAATCTTAACAGGAGAGATGTTTGTACCAGGTTGTAGCGCCAGTGCAAATTTCCACCTGTCGTCCCTGAGCAGGTTGATGTTATAGTTCATAAAATCAAACCTACAGAGACAATGTTTTTTATAATGTCCAGAGCATCATAACAATTCTGTATCGTCATTCACTCCCAGTTCTCTCAGCATCTTAACCCTCTCAGGCTCAAATTAAATTTTAGTAACAGGAAAAAATCTGATATTTGGACAAAATGATCATATGAGGTACTAATATACAATCCTGACATTTTTTTGAGACCTTCACATCCAGTGTGTTCTGGGATGTTGCAGCATTGGTCCGGTGTGGGAAATTAACACTGAAGACTGAAAATGATATGAACACTAACTTTATTTGTATACCACTTTTCATAACAATGAAAACATAAAGCAGAGTGTAACAGCTTTACAGTGGCACAACAACATCATTTTTTCATGTGGTTCTCCAAGAAACAATTTTTATCCTTTGTAAACAACAAAAGTACTTTGCACTTCTGGCCGTTTGTGTGAAGCCATTCTTATACAGTCTGCATCGTCAGTGTTGGGGAGGTGACTTTTAAAATGTATTTCCCTACAGATTACAGATTACAGACTCCAAAATGTAGTTTGTAACATAATCCATTAAATGACTTAACTTGAGTAACGTAATCTGAATACTTTGGATTACTTGATTTGCTGTAGAAAAGCAAAGATGAGGAAATCTTCACATAAAATGTTTTGTCTGCTAAAATAAAATGAAAAGCCCAGACTTTACTGAACCAAATTAAAAATATTATTGATAGAAGAAGAGGAGACACGTCCACGCAGCAGGATTTAGTCCTGTTAAATCCTGTTTAGACCTTATTTAGACCTGGTTTAGTCTTGGTTTAGTCTTGGTTTAGTTCTGGTTTAGACCTGGTTTAATCCTGGTTTTGTCCTCGTTTAGACCTAGTTTAGACTTGGTTTGGACCTGGTTTTAGTCCTGGTTTAGACTTGGTTTTAGACCAGGTTTAGAATTGGTTTGGACCTGGTTTAGACCTGGTTTAGTGTCCGGCAATGAGTGGAATTACCTGCTGTGTAATCCATTTATTTCAACAAAGTAAATGTAATCTGATTACCACTCACTGAAACAGTAACTGTAACTGAATACAGTTACTCATAATTTGTACTCTGATTACTTAACTCCAGTACATGTTATGCAGCGAAGACAGTGTGGCATTATCGTTGCATTTAGAGGCACCTGAGGCTTCAGTGATCAGGGAGTTTCTAATGTATTTAAAATTGGCCAGGTTGAATTTTGTAGGTTATAGATGCAAGTTGAAGGTCTAAAAATGGACAATGTTCCTTTTTAAATGTCTTGACAAGATCTTAGTGTGAATCATTACAGTCAGAATAAAGCAAATTCAGATTTAAAAGTGCTTCTCAAGACACAAGTCCGACTCAAATCCCAAGTCAGTGACCTTCAAGTCCAAGTCGAGTCCCAAATCTTAGTCCATTTTATCAAATCAGGTCTCAAGTCCTAAAAAATATTAACTCAAGTCTGACTCGAGTCCATGTCCCCTCTTCTGGTGCTTATCCAACCGAGTGGACGCCCAAAGCATGACCCAGGTCCAACTCTGACCTGGGATTTGGGATCCCTCTGGAGGAAGTGTCTGGGGCGATGGAAGCCTGAGCACCTCTGCTTAGACTCGGGACTATGTATAACAACTTGACAAGAGAATACACTGACCGTTTCTGTTATGTAAATCCTGTTATAAAGCGTATAACCAAATAAGGCCCTGAAACTGAAACGTTCTCAAATAGACCATACTTTTTTATTTTTATTTAATTTATTTAAAACAAGGACAGTGCACAGAAAACACAACTACTTTCTATCCACAGAGTCCTTGGGCAGGTACAAAATTAGAGTGACCAGATGTTCAAAATAAAAAAACTGGGACATCACCCGTTTTTTTTTGTTTTGTTTTGTTTTGTTTGGTGGTTGGTAATAATAAAACTGTGAAACAAGTGTGTAATTAAGGAAAATTGTTCTGTAAATACCAATCGTGTCTAACATGTGAGTCAGTATAGTCACTTTTTTTGTGTGTTTTGGTCATTTTTAATCAGCTTTTCTGTATTTTATCTAAACAAATAACAATGTATGCCTCATTACTGTTTACTTTGTACAACCATAAATTATAAACTGTTGTTCCTTCTTCATTACAATTACAATTACAGTTTGGTGTGTTCTAAATTATTCTGCTGACACACCCTGATTCCTGCTGTGGGAGCCCTGGTTTGTGATTGGTGGGGCAGGTCGACGCCCACCTCACCTGCAGCCACCGCCCCCTGTTTAAGGAGATCACCAGCACCTGTTCGCGGTGGCCAGTCTGCCTGTTTGTGTTTGTGTTTGTGTGTAGTTTAGTTCTGTTCTGTGCCTTTTTTGATTTGGTCACTCGATTCTGTTTGTGGGCTTATGTGGTTTAATTTAATACACTCATTTGTGTAAGCCTGCGTGACCCCTTTTATGGCACAAAACTCGTTGTCTGTTGTTTTGTCTCTTAGTTTAGGTTATTTTCTGTATATTTTAGTCTGTTTTGTTAATTTACCTTTACATTCCATTTTACATCTTGATTTTATTTTTGTTACTTCCCTGTTCCTAGCACAGCTGGGGCGTAACAACGACCATAAACGAAAACAAAAAATCCTTACATGTTTCATTCTCATTACTGTTTATTTTGTACGATCATTAACAATAAACTTTGTGCCTGTGTTAACATTATTATGAGTTAGTACGACCATAAACGAAAATATATTTATGCGTGTATGTATATGTGTGTTATGCATGTGTACAAATATTTATGTTGAATATATGTACTGGATATATTTGATGTGTATATGTATGTATGTGTGTATGTATGTACATGTGTGTATGTATGTATGTATGTATGCATGTACGTGTGTATGTGTGCATGTATGTATGTATGTATGTGTGTATGTACGTATGTGTGTATGTACGTATGTGTGTATGTACGTATGTGTGCATGTGTATGTATGTGTGTGTATGTATGTATGCATGTATGTATGTATGCATGTATGTATGCATGTGTATGTATGTATGCATGTATGTGTATGTTTGTGTGTGTATGTGTGTATGTATGTGTGCATGTATGTATGCATGTGTGTATGTATGAGTGTATGTATGTATGTGTGTATGTATGTATGCATGTATGTACGTACGTATGTGTGCATGTGTATATGTGTATGTATGTGTGTGTATGTATGTATGCATGTGTGTATGTATGTATGCATGTGTGTATGCATGCGTGCATGTATGTATGTATGTATGTATGTATGCATGTATGTATGTATGTATGTATGCATGTATGTATGTATGTATGTATGCATGTATGTGTGTATGTGTGCATGTATGTATGTATGCATGTATGTGTGTATGTATGCATGTGTGCATGTATGTATGTGTGTATGTATGCATGTATGTGTGCATGTATGTATGTATGTATGTGTATGTATGTGTGTATGTATGTGTGCATGTATGTGTGTATGTATGTATGTATGTGTGCATGTATGTATGTATGTGTGCATGTATGTGTGTATGTATGTATATGTGTGTATGTATGTACGTATGTATGTTTGTGTACGTATACAACCATTTGATTACGTAAAACAATTGGGGTAGGAGACTAAGTTTTTTTTTATTGTTTTTTGAATTTTTGTTGTATCTGGCTCAAACAAATTAAAAAATGAAATGAAAATACCTCTCTTTCCTGTTGGTAAGTGTCAGATTGGTCAAAAATAGGGACACGTGGGACATTTGTTGCATAAAACTGAGACAAATTTGTGGTTTTGGATAAATCTGTTGGGACAGGAGGACACAGGGCTCAAAACTGGAACTATCCCGGATAAACAGGGACGTCTGGTCACACTATCATCAGTAACAGCGTCTCTTTGTATTGTATTGTGCAATTATTTTGTTCTGAAATGCACCTTGTTCCATTATTTACCATGTAGTACACACAGTACATGGTAATAACCTTTCCCAGCTGGTAAAAGCAGCTTGTAGTTCTCCCCTCCTCTGTCTGTCACACGCACGCCCCGCCTACGCGCTCCTGCTGCACGTCGCATGTACAAAAAAAAAAAACAGCAGCGGCGTTAGAGGAGCGTAAATAGAGAGAGAAGGCTCAAGATGGCGGCCTCGCTGGGCTCCGAATGCCTCACCGAAGCTGCTGCTGCGACTGCGGTAGACCCAGCGCTCGCCTCGGCCAAAAACAAACTCCCGAAGCCGAGCGAGGCGAGAGGAACCGCGGGCACCCTCTCTCCGACGAGCCCGGACCCGAACCAGCAGCCACCACCCAAGAAGATCCGAGTGGAGGAGCGCAGCGTAAAACCTAAGAAACTCGGAGGCGAAGGCAGCGGCAAAGACAAACTCAAGCAGCCGAATTCGTGGAGCTACAGCCCGGCCAAAGCGAGCAGCAACAACTCGGTGCCTGCCTCCGGAGGACCGCACTCCCAGCCGCCGAGCAATGCGCATAAACTCCTCAAACAGAGCGATTTCTACCTACACAAAACGCCTTTAACGACCAAACCGAATAAGAAACCCGCGATTAAAGACAAATGCAAGCTTAAGGACGGCGAGGAGGAGCGCAAGAAGAAACATAAACTCCTACTAAGTGCTTCTGCGAGTGGAAATAACATCAGCAACAATAACAACAACGATATAACGAGGTTTAACAATGTTGCAGCAGCAGCGAAGCGAGAAAACGGTGATGTCGCGCTGTCATCCAAAGGTAGGCCAACGTTTTACGGAGTGGCTGTTGTAAAATTGACTTTCTGTGCTCGGGGAAATTGTGAATGAAGTTGTGAGACGGGTTAAAATGAAGCTAGAATCGAGTCCTGCCCTTTTTTTTTTTTTTTACAGAGACTTGACTCGCGTTGGACCGTGCCTAGTTAATAGCATGTGGCGTAAAGCGTGCCTCCTACGGTAATTTGTCCCATTTTTGGACACCTAAAATGCGCGCTTTTACGCTTTTACGCAGCGCGATATCCAGGAAACACTCGAGAGATATTCCAGCATCGCCCCTCGCTGTGAATCGTTAATGTTTGGGGTAACTTTTACGCACGGATGTCGTAGTTTGCTCGGTGTTTCTAGGGGGGCTATGGCTGCCAGCTTGCTCGGTCACCCGCGCGTGAACTCGAGCGCTAATACTCGTCCGATTCAGGGCAGTAGTAGCAGGAGCGAACCGAGCAGCGCGTACATGCATCTCTATTTCAACCGTAGCCAAGTAGGAGTTGAGTTATTCGTGGGTATTATCGTGTGAATGGGATGTGGGAACACGGTGTCTACGTCTTTACGCGTACGCAGTGGCGATTTTTTGGGGGGGGAAACTAAACACAATTACGCACGCGTTTCTGGGCTGCTTCGTGGTACTGAAACTATCATAACAGTATGACAAGCGCCCGCCATTATGGGCTAAGCGTTGTTTTGGTATCGCACCACGCCCCCCTCTGTAACCTCAGGCTGAATAGGAAATACACACACACTCAGCTCGCTTTTCTTGTTGCTGGCAAACCGAGTAAAGCAGAGAGATGTTCTATATATTAAACTAGAGAGCAGGTGCCAGGGAATCCTTTGTTCAGGTTTTTTTTCATTACATCACACTTACATAATATAGGAACTAGGTTATAGCCATGCCCCAAAGTAGGCTACCATATTGTAGTCCATAAAATGATTAAGCTGTGTATTGTATCGTATAGGGACGTAGAAATAACCGAAATACCGTGATATCGTATCGTCAAAGTTCTAACAATAACATCGTGGACTGTCACAATATATCGAATTACAAGTCTCTTTGCTTAATTTAAGAGTTATGGTGCAGCAATAGGTGAAAAAGACAGATGGAACTACATAGACCATGATCCTTTGCTCCATTTCAGTGCAGACCACAAGAAGAAATAACAGTTCTAATACGTTTAAGCCTTAGTTCTTTGGATTAAGTCTTGTCAAGGCATTTTAAGAGGAAAAAGTCGCATGTTCACAGTTCTGTTTGGTCTCCACAAAATATCGGAATACATATCGTAGCGTGAGACGTATATTGTGAAAATATCGTACAGAGAGATTTGGATATTGTTACATCCCTAATCGTGAGCTTTCCCACCATATCACAATAAATATCGTGCCGTGAGGTTCATACTGTGACAATATCGTATCGTGAGACTTGGATATCGTTACACCCCGAGTGATTTGGAGTGAAATGGAGAGTTTGGTAAACTTATGTTGTTTATGTTATAGTTTATCTGAAGAACTGTTCATATGTGACGTTAACAGTCTGTTCTCTCTTCTATTGTTTTTACTAGAACTTGACTTTAAAAGATGAAATGTCAGTTCCTGGTCTCTGATTTTATAAAATAAATTTCCCCCCAAAAGTGCGACTTATATATGTTTTTTCTTCTTCTTCGTGATGCATTTTTTGGCTGCTGCGACTGGTCCTGTGAGATGTATATTATGAAAATATCGTACCGAGAGATTTGGATATTGTCACTAGAGCCCGGCCGATATGGATTTTGTTGTGGCCGATATGAAACCGATAAAATTGGAGTTGGAGCTGCCGATATAATCACCGATATATTTAGTCATGTAAAAATTCACTGTAAATCTTGAATTGTTTAAAAAACGAGGTTTGGCTCTGGTGGATTTTAAATTGGGTTTATTTAGGCAACATTTATTGTTATTCTGCCTCTTTGCGTCATATTTACAGACAGTAGGTCTACGTTTTTCCCTTGATATCAGAATAAATATCGTACCGTGAGCTTCATACCGTGATAATATCGTATCGTGAGACTTGGATATCGTTACATCCCTAGTATCATACTGTGGCCCTTTATTGACAGCTACATAGATTTTACAATTAAATAATAATTCATCTAAGATCAATACATTTAAATTGTTTCTAAATGATTTCTCTCTATGTAATCCTTGTACCTTGAATTTTAATGAAAGCTCTTATTACATAAAGGTGCATTGTGTAACTTTTAGAGGTGTAACGATATCCAAGCCTCATGACACAATATCGTCACGGTATGAACCTCACGGTACGATATTTATTGCGATATTGTGGGAAAGCGGTGAGGCTCATGATTAAGGATGTAACAATATCTAAATCTCTCTACGATATTTTCACGATATACATCTCACAGTATCTCATAGTATATTTATTGCGATATCACTGCTGTCAAAAATCAGTTTTTATCTATCTGTTTATCTGTTTTTAAATGTATTGAGCAGAAGAAACATTGATCGAGATGCCAGACTTTTGTGCTGCACACGGTCTAAACCAGGACTGAACCAGAACTGAACCAGGTTTCTGATTAATCAACAACATTCGATTAGTCATCAATATCCAAATCTCACGGTACGATATTTATTGCGATATTTTGTGGAGGCTAAAACTGTGAATATGCTCTTTTTTTCCTCTTAAAATGCCTTGATAAGACTTAATCCAAAGAACTAAGACTTAAAAGTGTTAGAACTGTTATTTCTTCTTGTCGTCTGCACGGAAATGGAGCAAAGGATCATGGTCTATGTAGTTCGCTGTGTCTTTTTTTTAGCTATTGCTGCACCATAACTCTTAATTTAAGTAAAGAGACTTGTAATTCGATATATTGTGATGGTCCACGATATTATTGTGAGAACTTTGACGATACGATATCACGATATTTCGGTTATTATCACATCCCTAGTAACTTTTCTAGTGGAGGGTCCATCAAACGCTTTTCTCCATGGAGACGTCATTGCTTTGTTTGGAATGTTTCACAGTATGACATTAAACCTTTCTGTCTACATGGAAACTAAACCAGAGCAAGTTACAGGTCAGATCTGTGGAGAGGCGACCCCGCTCACAGTCAGAACGTTTGTTTTTCTAGGTATTTTTCAGCTATAAAACCACCTGTAATTGAATAAATAAATGTAAAGTAGAGCTGTATAATGTCACACTGTGGGACATTCCAGGCAGAGCAACGACATCTCCATGGAAACGAGGATGATGGACCTCCAACCAAAAAGTTACACAGTGCAGCTTAATATAAAGAGGTAGGCTATAACCATGCAGTATCGTTATCGTTTAATGTGCTCATACAGTATCGATATCGTGGGCTGCTGTTTCGATATATCGCCAAGAGTATTTTTTTGGTATATTTTACTGAATAATTTTGTTACAGAGCTACAGTTTTGTTGCTGGTTTGGAGAAAGGAAACTTGTTTATGCGTCACATTTGACATTTTCACTGTTTTGAGGATTAAAATGTTTGCGTTTCATATGAACTTTGCACAAGAAGCGGTTTAACAAAGACTTTTAGTATCACAGCCACGATTTAGCCTTTATTTTTTATTGAACCGTATCGAATAGATTTGAAATATATCGTACTGGCAACTTCTTAATGACACCCAGCTCTACATCTCACAGTACGATATTTACTGCGATATTTTGTAGAGGCTGATATAATTGTAGATTGGAAACTTCTTTGCTTTTAAAATACTTTGATGTGAATTATTTCTGTCATAATCCCAAGAATTGAAGTAAAAAACATATTCATTCTTCATGTTTGCACTGAAATGCATCATGGGATATGTAGTTCCCGATGTTTATAAGCTGTTGCTACCATAAAACTATGCATTTAAGCGAAGGAACTTGTAATTCGATATATTGTGATACTTTTAACGATACGATATCACAGTATTTTAGTCATTATTACATCGCTAATCTCTAAAATGGGAGCTTTTAACTTGAAAACTACCGCTTCATGACATCACAAGGTGGAGCAGAGCATTTTGAGCTTCGGAGATGTACACACACTAACGAGGTGACAACATAATAACCCGGCATAAAGATCACGTCGGACCTTTAAGTTACTTTTATGTCCCCTATCCGACAAGGGACGCAACTGTTTTAAAACAATCACTGAGACTGAGTCAGAGTTTAGTTTGGCAAGTTTATTTTCGCGAGGCCAAACATTCGCCAAGGTGTACAAAAAGCAAACAAACAAAAGTTGGTGGGAGGAGGCGCGTCCCAGTTGTGCCAAAGACAACAACAGAAGTAAAAACAAAACGAGGCCTTCGAAAACATGCATGTGAAAAGCTGATTGAACGCAGGATTCATTTCCAAATCGTCCGCTAATTCACTTCAGTATCTTCTTTACTCTCTTGTTGCACTGTATATATTTCCTTTTAACCTATAATCAAATAAACTACACCCAAACTTGACCCATTAATCACCTAAAAGACCGAACTACAGCAATATTTCTATTGGGCCCGACCAATTTTTTTGCAGCTGATATGATACAGATAAACTGGGAGTTGGAGGTGAAATATCGGCCCATATCGGCAAGATTTAGGCCGATCGATGATATGTTTCCCAGTGCCATTATCGGCCGATATCGTCTTTTACACAGTTAGTCCCACCAGAGCTGCTCGATTATGGAAAATATCACGATTATTTTGATCAATACTGAAATTATGATTATTCAAACGAGTATTTTTTTAGTTACACAAAGCATTTATTCAGCAATTCTCTCTTAAAAAAACACTTTGTTATTGATAATTTATGCAAAACTTTCCAAATATGAGCAATTTTGCAATGTATAAAACAAAAAAAATGAATAAAATAAACTTCGAACATGAAATGAGGCATAGAAAAACATATGTATCCAAAATAAACTATATATCCAGCTAATCCGTGTATCATTCGTTCATTTGTTTTTCAATATGGAACCAAAAATAAGAAAACGAAACAGTA